GCGCGAGGCATCTCGCTTGGAGGCCGTAGTGCACCCGGTTGATAGGACCACTTGTCGCGGAGCCCTTGTTTCAATGCAAGTGCTAGACTTGACAAACACCCATCACCAGTCAATCCTGCTGGACCTGGTGTGCAATGCAAACATCGGGGCCATACACTTGGCCCCACCCCGAAAGGCAGTTTCTCGTGCTGCGGAGCAGGCACTTCCGTCTAGCGCGCAGCATGCTGACAACAAGCCGTTGAGGTCTGCGCAGTACTTGCTAGGGCGTCCGCACCTGCAAGCAGCAGACGCAGCGCAAGTGGCAGCGACTAATAAGTTGTATGCTTTCACGCTGGTTGTAGCAGCCATTGCGGTCACTGGGCGTAGTATTGTGAGTGTGATCAACGCGTCAAACTCGCACTTTTGGACAGTCGTAGAGTCGCTTGCAGACACATGCCCAGAACTTAGCCCGCTCTGGGCGCAGCTGGAGGATGTGGCCCTTCAGGCCTGCATGTTTGGCTCTGGCCAAGGCACCTGGATTACCTTGCGTGCCACGAAGGGCGTCTACTCTTCAATGGCCTTGGCGTGAATGGCAACCACGGTCACGATCAAGGTGCGCTAGACCTTGTGTGCCCCAAAGAGCTTTGCGAAGCCATGGTTAGGTGCCTTGCGTGCGCATGGCAAGCGCGAGGAACCACTGTCCCCTCTGCTGCCTTGCAACCCAACAGCGTCACTGCCAGACACGCAAGGCAATTTGCCAAAAAGGCCCCACCGCCGTTGCTAGCCGAGTACTGGTTGGTAACAAGGCCCGAAGTAGCCAGGCAGTTTGAGTTGTTTAAGCAACTCAAGGCCATTCCAATGCAGCTTGAAAAAGGGGGTGATAACGGAATGCACATGCCGCACACGGCAGGCGACAGCGCGCTTCAGCATTCATCCCTCGAACCCCCGATTCATCAGGTGGCCCAAAGGTTGCAACAAGAGAGCGAGTCTCAGCCTGGAACAAGATGTTACGTTGAACCACCGCTAAAGCATGGCGAAGACCTAGTTGGAGTCTACCGAGGCTTCCCCCAAACCATAGATGCCGCCTTGAAGTTAAGACACCCCGTGGACGCTGCGTTTCCCTTGCCAGACATATTACTAAGGAGCATTTGCCGAGTTCTTAGCTTGGGGCCCAACAAGATTGCAGAACAAAGGATTGCCAAGTGCAAGGAAATTCTGGCTCTCAGGGAATCTTTGCGAACCCAGGAAGAGCAGCTTACAGCCACCTGGAGCCCATCGGTAAGAGAGGTTCTTGGATCAAAGCAAACGCTTTTATGGGAACGCTTGTTAGAACAAACTGGTTACCCTGATGCCAAAGTCGTGACTGAGGCCCGTGAAGGCTTCAGTCTCGTGGGCCCAGCGCCTCACTCAAGCGTGTATCCATGGGGCTACACTCCGGCCAAAATGACTCCCGAACAGCTTCAGCAACAGGCTGTGTGGCGGCGCAGAGCCGTCGTGGCAAAGTGCCGCCCATCCAAGAGTCTGGACATGGATCAGGAGTTGTGGACACAGACGCTGAGTGAAAGGGACAAGGGGTGGTTGAAGGGGCCTTTTTGCTCTGAGCAGCAAGTGTCCCAATATCTTGGCCACGAGACTTGGATACGCGCTCGCAGGTTCCCTTTACAACAGAAATCCAAAGTGAGAATCATAGACGACGGCCTTGAGTCCGGATTGAATTCGGCTTTCAGTTGCTTCAACCGCCTCAAACTCATGGACGCAGACACTCTCGTATGCTTGATTCTGACTGTCATGAGATGTTGTGCGCAGTCTGAAGGGTTTCGGGTAAGGCTCTCAGACGGCAGCCACTCGCAAGGCTCAGTGCATCACGACTGGGGCCAAGACCTGAGTCTGCTTGGCCGCACGCTTGATTTGCGATCGGCGTACAAGCAACTGCCAGTAAGCTCCAGGCAGAGCTGGGCAGCGGTGTTGTGTGCATGGAATCCGGCTGAGAGCAAGCCTCAATACTTTATCTCTCAGGCTCTACCGTTCGGTGCCACATCAAGCGTTTATGCATTCAATCGGGCGGCAGCATCTCTTTGGCACTTAGCAGTAGAGCTAGGGGACTGCTGGGTAACTCATTACTTTGACGATTACCCCTCGGTAGAGTTGACTCGCGGGGCTAGTTCTAGCAGAGGCTTTCTTGAAACGTTGCTCAAAGCGCTTGGGTGGGCCTTTGCAGAAGGAGGCAGCAAATCCCTCCCTTTCAACAACAAGTTTCAAGTGCTTGGTTTGATTGTAGACCTGGGGGACTCGGGCAAGGGACAAGTTACCGTGTCCAACAAACCCGAGAGAGTGCAGAACATTGCAGAAGGTTTGTGTGCCATCTTGAACAGGCAAGCCATGCTTGCCTCGGAAGCATCATCCTTGCAGGGGCAACTCAATTTCGCGCAAGGCCAGCTCTACGGCTGCACGCTCAAGCCGGCCATGGCGTACTTGTCTGAAATCTCCAACCGGGGATGGAGGGCTTCAGACTTAGAACTTCTCCCTATGGTGGTCACGTATGTCTTGACCACGCTGCGGACAGCCCCACCTAGGACGCTGTCTGTGTGTGACGTAGAGACACCGGTACTCCTCTTCACAGATGGCTCCTACGAGCCGGAGCGAGGCGGCTACGTGTCAGGAGCTGGCCTTGTGTTTGTCGACCAAGTGCGGGGGAAGCGAGTCGTACAGGAGGTGGTTGTCCCTCAACGCCTAGTCGACGCTTGGGCAGGTCAAGGCAAAAAGCAATTGATAGCTTATATAGAGCTGTGGCCGGTGGTGGCTGCATTGACAGTGTACGGCCAGCAATGGCAAGGCCGGAGGCTCGTCAGCTTTATAGACAATAATTCAGTGCGAGATGCCTTGACCAAAGGCGCATCATTGGGAGCTTGTTTGCAATGTTGGCCTCAGTGGCGCTAGCCCTCTCGCGACACAACATAATGTCCTGGTTCACACGGATCCCCTCAGCCAGCAATCCGGCAGATTGGCCCTCCAGGGGCAAAGTGGCAGAGCTCGCAGCAAGGATCCAGGGCCAGGTCATGCCCCCTTTGGAAGTACCCAGCGATTTGATTGACGCATTGTCTCGTGATATCTCGTTCATCGACTGCATGCAAGCTCTCACGTCTGAAGGTGGCGCATGTCAAGGGCTGGAGTGAAAATGGGGAGATGACCGTGAGTGTCGCCGCACACTGGCGCATGGGGGTCACCAGCGCATTTGGTGCAGGCCAGTTTTCGACCCCATGCCTTTGGCAACGCGCGACGGAAGAAAAGAAGAGCAGTTGCCATGTATGCAGATCGTGGAAGAGGCACAGAGTTTGAGGCATGGCGTTGCAAGGCACCATCATGTTTGGCCTGTGCTGTGCTGGGGTCACTTTGTTGTTGAGATGGACGCCCTCACCGCAGGTGATAGTCCTATCTAACACAACAAAGGCAACCCCTCAATTGTGTTGTGTTTTGCACATTGCTTATAAACATGATGGTTGAACATACTTGTGGTGCCAAATGCTGGGCTCTAAGCGTGGGAACCTCTAGTTGTCAGTCGCGACACCCGCCCGCCCTCCCTGCTACACCTATTCTCATGGCGCCCAAACTGAGCGCTGAGGAGACTACAGCAGCAGGCGAGAAGCATGAGACGCAGAGCCCCGCCGTGTCAGAAGCCCGCAATGCCTCTGCAAGCGCGCAGCCCGTGGAATGCGGCTTCTGCTGGACTTTCCAGGCAGCGCGCAACAAAAGCAGCCGCACCACGGCCTGTCCAACATCTCATGTGTGCCGCATATGCTTCTCCACCTTCACGTCTTGTAGTTGCCGTTGAAGGGAGATGACTGTGAGTGGCGCATTTGGTGCAGGCCAGTTTTCGACTGTGAGTGTCGCCGCACACTGGCGCATGGGGTCACCAGCGCGTTTGGGGAGGCCAGTTTTCGGGAGATGACCGTGAGTGTCGCCGCACACTGGCGCATGGGGGTCACCAGCGCATTTGGTGCAGGCCAGTTTTCGACCCCATGCCTTTGGCAACGCGCGACGGAAGAAAAGAAGAGCAGTTGCCATGTATGCAGATCGTGGAAGAGGCACAGAGTTTGAGGCATGGCGTTGCAAGGCACCATCATGTTTGGCCTGTGCTGTGCTGGGGTCACTTTGTTGTTGAGATGGGGGTGATGAAAGCCATGAAGAAGAAGCCCGTCTTCCCAGACCCGAAGCGAGGCAAGACCTTACAGCATTTTCTGCTTCTGAGCACCAAAAATGCTGTAAGGTCTCTATTTTTTTGGGTTTTCAAGGCCTCAAAAATAGAGACCCTACAGCATTTTCTGCTCTTGGATGCCTCAAATGCGGTAAGGCCTCTATTTTTGGAGCATTGGAAGCTGAAAAAATAGAGGCCTCTCAGCACTGGCTGCTCCTGGATGCCCAAGATGCTGTAGGGCCTAAATGTCACAGCTTCTTCATCAGCACTTCAAGCTTGCATCCAGTCTCAAAACTATCTCACTCTCAAGGCCAACATTGGATTCATCCTTCAAATGTAGGAAGCCATCTGCTGAACCGACCCATTTCATCTGGAGATGATATCCTTCAAAGAATCTGGTCAGAATCTGATATGCCTTTGTATAACAAAAAACAAGGGAAAAACGTGTGTTTTCCTGCATTCTTGGTATGTTTTCTAGTTTGCAACATGGGGGTGTGGATCATGGGGGGGGTGACCATTTATATATATATATATATATTTATATGTTTGACCGACATGGGGAAGACGCAAAGCAAAGGGTTTGACCCACATGGGAAAAGGAAGTGATGGGGTTGACCCACATGGGGAAAACACAAGCGACAGGTTTGAGCCCCATAGGGAAAAACAGCAAGTTGTTTTTTTCCTGGTATGTGTTCGACCCACAGTGGGGAAAAGCAAATGCTTTTTTAATCAATATCTCTATATATATATATATATATGTATTTATATATCAACAAAGCACATGTTTTTGCGGGGGGAGGCAGAAGCAATGTGTTTTCTTTTGGTCGAGGCAGATCGCCAACATCGCGGACAAGTACTCCTCCGCCAGCCTGGCGGAAGACCTGGAGGAGGAGTTCAAACGCCAGACGGCCGGGAAATCGGATCGGATCGGATCGGGCGGAGCGGATGGGCCCGCTTGACTCGTGGCCTGGAGGGGAGCCCTTTGTGTGTGTGTGTTTTTTGTTTTTTGTGTTTTTGGTTTTTCCCTTGTTTGTTTTTCCATGGGCTTAAAGAGGGTTCCCCAATCGAGTTGGTTTTTCGCTTTTTCTATGGGCTTGAAGGGAGGAACCCCCCCAAAAGAGTTGGGATATGTCTTTTTGTGTTTTAAATTCGCCGAGGTTCGTTGCAAAAGGGACACCAAAACGGAAACCGACGTCCAATTGAGTCCAAATCCATGTCGACCAGCAAGTTCTCAGTGCTTGAGGGCCAGCCACTTTGGACGCTTTAGATGGGGCCATGGTTGTGCCCAAGCGCAGTGATACCAAGGGAACCTTTAAAGTGGGTATCTGGTCATACAGCTTCACCACAACGTTTATGTCCCATCCCACAAGATAGCTCAACCAACAACATACAAATTTGACGGGCCACCTTGACTGCACAATTTGGCTTCACCATACTTACAACAAGCTAATATTCTGAAGACGCGAGTACTGGTTATCGGACATCATTGCAACAAGATGCCGGCCTTTCCTCTCTGAACACAAGAGGATATTCATGCAGGTGCAAGCTCCAGCGACTCGAACCAAAGCAAGATGAGACCTGAGAACACTCAGTTCATCTGATCGACACAAGACACATCGTCTGAGTGTCGTCTAGAGTCTAGAGAGTCACTGAGATGACTCTTGAGATCTCTGCAGACGCGCAGCTCTGAGAAAAGGACTCCTCCTTTGGGTTTTGAGGCGGGGTGTGAAAGAGAGGAGGCAGTTTCCCTGGCCAGATTGAAGGCTCGCGGCTTTCGGGGTGGATTCAGCCATTGGACACCAGCCAAACCACAGGGATCGGATCGCCCAGTGGGCAGTGGTTCCCTTTGCTTTCCCTTTTCTTACCTGGAGCCGGAAAGGGTAGCCTCAGAGAAGATGAGCCCCCCGCTCTTTGAACCCAAAGTCTGCCAACTTCGAGCGGCGCACCCATTTTTATGGCTGCGGCATGTTGAAAAAAAAGCAAATGTTGATATCAAAGGGTTTCCCTTTGGTTACCAAACTGTTTGCCCAGCTGAGAAGTCCACGAGTTTTGATCAGGTCGGCCTGATCTCTGCAGAAGAGTTCAAAGCAAAGACTGGCGCTCAGCTTCTGCGGACCCCCGAGATGTTTTTTTTGTGTTTTTTTTTGTGGAGTTAGATCGGGTTCCAAGTAGATCTTTGTTGATCATAGTGTGCGTGCGTGGTTTTCGTTTTTCTTTTTTCTTTCCCCGGTGATCAAGAGGGACACCAGAAGGAGAACCGATTTCAATCTTGGGCGGGCCTTGTCCTTTTCGGATCGGTTTGAAAGGGATACTACATTTTCAGGCTTCCCTATTTTAAGTCATGCCCATTTGGATTTGCCCTCTCTTAAAACAAAATAAAGCAAAGGAAAAAGGGGACTAGCTGCCTTCACTACAATTTCCAATCATTTGTCAGTTACGCAAATGCACGAATTACGGCCTTGTCACGGGGGGTCACTGGAAGTGGGGGCTAGTAGATAGGTGTCCTGGTTAGGTTGGTTTGGTCAGAAAATGATGGCACTGGTTTACATTTGTTTACTCTATTTCTTCCTGACCCCTGATCTTCCAGTCAATGCAGCAGTTGCCTATGGCTGCTTTCCCATTTCAACCCAAAAGGGCAATCAGGCAGCATCCGGTTTTGGAGGGTTGGAAGACCAAATCCAAAAGGGTCCCGCTTTTTCCCCATGCATCATGTTCTTGGTGGGAAGGTGCCATTTTTCCCGGCTTGTGGGACAGCGAAGCGCTTGCAACTTCTGACTTGAACACCCGTTTGTTTGCCCCCCAAAAAACATAGGATCCAAATATCTTATGGGTGGGTTGACTCCGGTGAACAAAGGCTGCCTCAAAACCAAAACCAAGACCTCCAGTCTGATTGGTTTTTGAGTGAAAACCAACAGAACAACTACCTGGATGCGGACCGTAGTTATGGAAATCATCGTCAGGGTGCCACCCAGGTGCGATGGCAAGCTGATGAAGTGGTTTGGTGCTGGGCAATCGCTTTGTCCAACTGGTCGACGCACTTTGCAATTGCTGTTTAAAAATGTTGAATTCAGGGATTGAATCGCTGAACCTGGTCAGTGATTGTGTTGCAGGGGGAGGAACGTGCTGGCTGGTTATGTGAGTTTTGGGCTGGTTGGGGAGTTGTTGTGGGGCGTTGCCCCAAACCACCAAAACTAGGCCAAAAGTCACGCAGCCATATCCCTAAAGCACCCGTAAGGCCGCTGCTAAACCCGCTGCACACCTAGTACAAATCAGCCCCAAGCCAACCCACACACCCGAAACCTCAAACCCAGCCAAAAGAAGCCGGGATATCAAGTCCCCAACCAAATGCGAGGCCCGCCCTTAGATCTAAGGCACTAAAACTTTCCCGAAATCAACCCCGACCAACTCTCCGCCAAATCAGATTGAGGGTGGGGATGCTGCTGCGGGCCAACCCGCTAGTAAAAAATGCCGGGCTAGAAAAGAGCAAGACTTCCCTTAATAAGGGAACCTCCTTTCGGGCATTGTGGAAAGCTGGGCTCGCAAGCACTTTGTGAGATGCCAAGGGAGTGCCCTTCGTATCACTGAAATTGTTTCTTCATTCCTTTTTAGAGACCTTTTAATGGCTTCGCGGTCTTCCTTTTGGTTTGGCACACAGCCAAAAGGCGGGCTCAACGCAAGAAATACCATCAGGTACCCATCTGCTTTTGGGTGAAGGGAACCATGGGCCCATTGAACGCCTCGACTGGAGTCGAGGCGACAAGCCATCGACGACATGATCCGCGAGACGCAGCAAGCTGAAAAGGAGCAGAAAGAAAGTGGTTGTCCTTTCCATCCATTTGGACCTTTGGATTTTAACTTTTTGGGAAACAGTGGATTTGTTTGGGGAAGGACAGCTGTGGGCAGTAGGGAATTGTTCTAAGCTGGGGTTGCTGGGGTTGGTCCAAGGGCCCGAAGGAGGGGGGGGGCTAAGGCTCCCTAAGGAAGTGCAAGAAACCCTAGCTCGAACCCTCAGAGATCTACCCACCCCCCCTTGCTCCTACCCCCTTTAGGGATTCCAGAACATTGGCTTCAAACCAAAGCTATGGGAACTTGGCTCGTTCTTTCCTTCTTCTTTTTTTTTTTGGGGGGGGGGGGCAGGGGGGTAGTCCAGATGGCCGTGTTTGGTGTTATCCTGCAGGAATGCCCCTGGGAGTGAAAGAAACAAAGACAAAAAGGGTAAATCTCCACCACATGTTCTTATGGCTGCAGTGGGGCATTGGAGGCCGAAGGATGCAACAGGTTTTCGACAAGGACTTCGTATGGGGTGTCTTTTTTTTCCGCAGAATGGGATTTCGGTGTGATGTTCCGCGTACCCCAAAATGGATGCCATGAACGGCATCGGTTTAGGACAAGAAGGCGCTGCGGGTGAAGCGGACCGTCAAAGCCGCGCAGCTGTCCTTTGAGGCGAGGCGAGACATCGCTTTTTTGGAGTTCACGTCCGGGTGCTCCCAGGCCACCTTGGAGTTGGTACATCCTTCTTTGTGTTTTTAACGGGAAACCAAGAGGAACACCCAGCATTTTTTTTGGGTTCCCACGTTGATTCTGGATTTTGGTCTTTTAATGCATTGGGAAATGAAGGGTCTTCCATTGAATCCGCAAAGAGTTAAGAACTTGGGTCAACCGCAACCAAGTTTTGGTGTGTGTTTTTTGAGGATACCAGCTACCACTATATGTATGTAGACTATATAGTACGTAACCTGGGTTTCTTGACAGGTTTTACCATCGCTGGACTCCCAAAATGGTGATGTTCCATGACTTTCCTTTGGTGTCACGGGGCGTGCTAGGTTAGCATCCGTAGGTGGCACTCGCTGAGTTGCTTGAGCCACTTTTGGGCATTTGGACCAATGTGGTGTACAAAACGTTCAAACATATTTCCGACCAATTCACCCAGGAAGTGGGATGTCCTGGCTCCTCAAACACGTAAAGAGGGGGATATTGCATCTAAATCATGGTAATTGATTTACTTACTCCCTGAGTTCCTGGACTTTATACTTCTTGGGTCGACCATTTCAGGGCAAACATTCCGTTTGTTCGTATTTTGTGGCCAATCCATTTCTGAGTGTACCTGACAGGGGGACATTTTCTTTGGACGGTTTTACCTGGAAACCATATATGTGTCGCTTTTGGGTCGGTTTGGTTGAAGAGGAAGTTGATCTTCCTGGCACCTCAAATCTTTGTCAAAGGCGTCCCTTCAGGTGCCACAATAAAATCGCCCTTTGAAGCGCAACAGGGTAAATAGCTGGTTGCCCACTCAACCTGGAAACTGTGAGCCACTGGGGCCATATGTCTGGCAAGTTTGAGGATGTCATTTTACTGTGCTCCGCAAGTCTGTAGGTAAGCCGTAAATGATTCCCCTCCGGTCCAGCATTGAATTCACCAAGAGGAACACAGGCTAAACCAGGACCTCAGCCCTGCCAAGTGGCCCATACTGCATTTTCATCCATTCTGGCGTGCCTTGTTATCGTTTTGTTTGCTTATTCGGCCTTGGCGGAAAAAGCGGGTGTAGCTTTACATGTAAAGGGAAAACGGGTTTCATGTGGGTACACGAAATGGACGGCAAACACATGGCCGGGGTACCAGATGCCTTGGCCTGTCCAGAGTTCCTATAGGGTTCCCTAAAATGGCAAAATGTGTGCTTCCACCACCTAGCAAAAAGGGGGTTCACCTGGCTTTGTGTGTTGTTTGACCATTTCAGATGGGTTTTCAAGGGATTGCCAAAGGGGAAACCACAACTTCCGTGTTTGTTGGAGCTTTCCAGCTTGGTTTTCGAGGGAAATCCAAAGGGGAAAGACACCTTGCTTTCTGTGCGATTGACCTTTTCAGCTTGTTGTTCAAGAGAAAGCCAAAGGGAAATCACAAATTTCGGGGGTTCCCCTCAATCTCGAAAGACTCATTTTCGTTGGTCGGAGAGAGTTTGTGCGCAGGCCGATGACATTGCGGGCAGTGGGGACGAGGCTTCGGAGGAGGGCAAGAGCTGAGTCACCTGCTTGGATGTTGGTGGCCGAGGTAGTAAGTTGTAACGGTAACCTGAATTCTCCACTTAGAAGTCCCGCGTGAATGTGGGACTGCTAAGTGGGCCCGTTGCGAACGCCCAAGTGGACCTGGTAAAGTTCCTTGAATCAGGTAGCCCTGAGTTGGTCGAGCAATGGGAAGTCACCGCTTGTTTAAAGATATTCAAATCAAGCATGATGTCACAAAGGGGTTTGACCCGCGTAGATCGGCGCATAGGCGTGCGATGAATGGTCAGATTGTGAATGAAAATAGATGGAATCCACTAGTTACTAGTTCAGTTAAAACAACACATAGCCTGTAGATCTGACGTGATCCAAGATTATCTACGTTGAGCCTCATATTGTCAGCCGCGTATGGACCTGGGTGTAGCCCAACCAGCCCAATCTGGTCGAGTGTGCCTTGGTATGGCCTGATTTTCAGATGTGCCGTTGTCAAAGCACGAGTCTCACTTGAGGTGGATATGGTGGTCATGCACCTCAAACAGGGGATTCCCTGCGTTTTGTCCCCTGTCACGGACTCCTGTCCACTAGCTGGCAACTTGATTGATGGGTCCTGGAAATTATGTTTCTTAAACCGGGACCCTGTGGTGGGTTCAAAGTTGGTGGAAAGGAGAGTCATGACTCACATATCTGGAGTTGGCAGATGGATTTGCATTTAGACACCACACTCTCGTCCGCTCACTGAGCATGCACGATGCAGGCACCATACACACAGCAGATGATGTTTTGACCTTGGTTCTTTGCATGGTTCAGCTGTGTGAATCGTTTTCAGGGATTTGTTTAACTAGATTCCTGGTTTGGTTCCCTTTAAGACGTCAATTGTTGAGGAGGGTTGTGCCATGCACCCAGTTCAGGGGAAGCTTGTTCGCCAAGTTTTGATCGTGGCTCAGGCAACTGTGACTTGCCTGTGCCATGCTCGTCCCCATGAAAGCCTTTTCGGGTGCGGCAAGGACTCTGGCAGTGACGAAGATGTCAAGATCCGCAAAAAGAGGCGGGCCCTTGATCGGATCCGCTCAATGATTAAAGACTTTGATCACACCGTTTGGCCTCGTCGTCCAAGGTTCGGCAAAGATCCCAACGCGAAGACGGACTTTTTGTGCCCGCGGATGTCTTTGCGCAGAGAAAGAGAGAGAGAGAGAGATAGTGAGAGAGAGAGAGATAGAACCTTCGGATCACGAGAGGTGTCCTTGGCAGGCTCCGCATTTGTGCAGAAGGAATTCGAAAAGGGGATGCCGCAAGAGGATATTCCTTTGGTGCTGTTCGGGTTCCATGTTAATCTGCAGGGGAGTAGGTTGGTTCAAAATAGATGCTACTGGTTGCAGCCAAGTCATCCAGTGCCATTGTCTTTTGCCAAAGGACACCTAAACTCAGGATGTTCCAGATGTTCATTTCTCATCCACGCCAGCTTTTCGTCCCCCCGCCCCTTGCCGATGGTAAAACAGGGACTGACTTTGACGGCACAAACAAGGAGCCCATCTTGAAAGCCGCCCAAGCTGGGTGATCCGATGTTCAGCCTATGCTAAGAATCACATAGAATCTGTACCTTTAAAGGTTGACCCCCTATTCTGCTCACTCACCCATTGATCGTTGGAGAGACCGCCCAACTGAAATTCCGTGGGTGTGTGGTCACTGTCTGAACCTGATTGATTTGTTCAGCGAAATCGCGGGAAGTAGCGTTAGACCTTCAAGCAGTTGTTGTTGCTGTTGCTCAACGCGTGAGGTACGACGCAGACAGAGAAGCAGAGCTGCTTCGAAAGAAGAAAGAGCTGATCGCCGGAGACACAGAAACCTGGCGAGTGATGGGCGTAGCTCATAAATAAAGCCCACAACCGGGCTGTCTTTGATTTGCCCTTGCAACAAAGATTGATACCCTGAATAAACACACAGAGGGACACTCTAAGTGAGTCGGGCCGATTCCTCCGGCGGCTTATCGGTTTCATGTTGCCCTTCTTGTAAAAAGACAGCGTCGAAAAAGGTGTATCTTTGAGGCAGGCCCATATCACGTCTCAAAGTGGGTATCACCTCCCCCTTATTGCCGTTTCGGGGTGGTTTGAAAGGGAACACACAGGAAAGCCACCTTATTTTGACACATGCCCGTTTCATAGAACAGCTGGACTTTGGAGAAGCACGGCCGCGTTGTTGCGCGCTTTGTTCTCGTCAGACGTGTGGCTGAGGTGCAGTACAAGAAAGAACAGGAAGAGGCGGGTGATCGGCCGATCGTCTCTCCAAGTAGCAAATGGCTATGTCGGGGTTCAAAAGACTCTGTACATGGGATGGAAACCATTGGAAACCATTGGACACCTCTAGGAAGGCTGATACTTCCCACTACGGAGAATGTTATTCATGGGCATTTGGGGGCCAGGAATATTGGTCAAGCCCCATGTGATCCCAGGTGTCACTCATAGGTGGACTTCCACACATGTAGATTCTTGTTGGCTTTGCTTTAACCTTGACACACCCAAGTAGCAGCAGTACCCACACATCAGTTTTGATCAGTCTGGGTCGCTCAGAAGGTAAGGCGAAAGAATGCCCCTTCCCACGCCGAGTCAGAGCCAGATCGCATGGTTGTTTGGTGGTCAAACATGGGAGTTCGGGGTTGCGATTTTCAGCGATACCACGCCGCGCCCTTCCATGAAGCAGCAGTTCGAGCATTTGTGGGGTGCTTCGGCGTCACAACGGTGCCTTTTGTCCTCTACATTTCGGTTTGCTCGTGACTCAGTAGTCAGACTTGAAGTAGTTCGGGCAGATGGCTCATGTTTGTATCACAGAGTTGGTGTTGCATGTTGGTATGACAAAACGACCGTTGGCAGAGTCCATGATGGTCTCACATGATCCACCATGTCTGCAAGTGGGTTGCCAACGCAGTCGCTCTGTGCAGGTCCAGAAGCAGAAGCTCGAAGTGACGTTCTCCTACTGGGATGGCTTTCTGGCTGAGAATCTGGAGAAAGCCGGCCCTAATGTGCACTTTGCCCTTGGCGACGGGGTAACCACAGCCTCGCCCTGACCATTTCATCAACATAATATGTATATACATACATACATACATACATACATACATACATACATCCATACAAACATCCATCCATACATGCATGCATGCATGCATACATGCACATACATTACATTACATTTCATTACATTACATTGCATTACATTACATTAGATTACATTACATTACATTACATTACATTACCATACATACATACATACATACATACATACATGCAGACATACCTACATGCGTAACATAACATAACATAACATAACATAACATACCTAACATACATAACGTACATAACATACATACATACACACATACATGCATACATGCATGCATGCATACATACATACATGCATACATGCATACACACATGCATACGTACATACATACATTCATTCATTCATACATACATACATAACTTACATAACTTACATAACATACATTACATACATTACATACATTACATACATGCATACATGCATACATGCATACATGCATACATGCATACATGCATACATGCATGCATGCATGCATGCATGCATACATACATACATACATACATACATACATACATACATACATACATACATACATACATACATACGTACACACACATATATACATACACATACACATACACACACACAACATGTAGCCGGCACCCTTCGGAAGGGCCATTTTTGACACTGACACGGAGAATCCGTATCCACACACATGTTTTGCCTTTGTCCCTCTGGGCAAGCCCTTTGTTGTGATCAGCCCAATGTGTCCTCTCCCAGTCTGGGTGCAAAATCTTTCGGGAGAGTTCCCCCAAGGGTGCCACATCATGTTCTTTATCCAGCCTGCTGTGCTTGAGAACCCGTCTAGACTCTAGACGGTACGGTGGTCCTTGCCTCGTAGACATGGTCATTTTCGGACCCAGGCAATGGTTTGGTTGCCCCCTAAAGGAGTTGCCTCTCGGCATGCCAGTGTTCTCCCTAATGTTGACCCTGTATTAATAAACCCTCCCCTATTAAACGTGTCCGGGTGACCCCCCCCAATACTAAACAATTCATATCTCAGGAAAAAGAAAAACCACACACCCTAAATAAAAAAGGGGCCTAAACAACCCTCCCCAATCAAACCGGTCCCTCCCCCAGATGGCTGCTGCTATCTCTTTTTCTCCACTGCTTGTTGAGCTCATTCCAGCCCCTCATTGTGAGGTGGTAGAGCTGATACTGACAATTCCTCCCATGAGCCTAGGCCTGATTCAGAGCTTGATGTTCCAGATGCCATTGCTGGACCATGTCTGCCTAATAAGCCTGATGAGCCTATTATCACTCAATCTCAATGGAAACCTCATGACATTGCATGGAATCCCATTGGGGTGGCCATGCAAACCTGATGGAAAAGTCACTCAATCTCAATGGAAACCTCATGAAATTTCATGGAATCTGATGGAAAAGTCACTCAATCTCAATGGACACCTCATGAAATTTCATGGAATCCCATTGGGGTGGCCATGCAAACCTGACAAATCTCAAAAGGAAGCCCCAGCAATACTAAATCAAATGGAAACTCAATTCCAGATCTCAAAAGGAAGCCCCAGCAATACTAAATCAAATGGAAACTCAATTCCAGAACTCAAAAAGGAAGCTCCAGCAATACTAAATCAAATGGAAACTCAATTCCAGATCTCAAAAGGAAGCTCTAGCAATGCTAAATCAAATGGAAACTCAATTCCAGATCTCAAAAGGAAGCTCCAGCAATACTAAATCAAATGAATCAAATGGAAACTCGATTCCAGATTGTTTAGGGGGTGGCAAAAAACCTTCCAAAATGTTGCCCCCCCAAAACCTTCTGACCTTCAGGGGGGGGGGGGGGACGGACTAATACGGGGTCAACATTAAACCAGAGGGACCACCTTGGCATAGGACCTTCAAAGACATTCACAACCACAACAGTTTCAACCACGACCAACACAGCCACCACCAACCGAGAACATACATTCACGGCGAACACCACAGCCAAGAAAACACAAGCACGGCTACGAGAACAACAGCCGGCGAACAGCAAACAGACAAATAACATACAATATGTGTGTACATATATATATACATACATATACACGTGTAAACAAGACAAAAGAGCAACTCGCAAAAACAACAAACACAAAAGACAACCAACATGTGGAGCTCGGAGTCACCGAACCTGAGCTGGTGTCTCGCTCACAGGTTCTGGGCACCGACGAAATTGCGTGATAGAGAAGGGTTACAGCATCGGCCCGGGGCCTCAGTCTGGGTGCCTCCGTCGCTATGTGTTTCCTTGTGGAAGGGCGTGCCCGTTGTTGGGTGAGTTTTGAAGGGAAACAAGCAGGACAAGACTGGGACCATTTTGGGGTGCCCCAAAAATAGACGCTCTCTTTGGTTCAAACTTTGGCCTTGACCTTTTTCGGCAATGAGTATCTTCTCACGAACCCAGAAATGATTGGGGACACAGACACCAACCGATGGGGGGGGGCTTTGTGTTGAATCCGAGCGGGAGTTCTTTGGGTGTGAATCTTGCAAGGTAAGCTCTGGGTGGCTCCCAGCAATCCGGTTCCTTAGCCTTTTAGCTTTTTAGTTTTTAGTGGTAGTTTGCATTTAACCCACTAAAACGTTAGTCACTTTTAGCGGGGGACCTGAAAACGGGCAGCCCAGAGCTGGCTCATACCAAATCAAATCCGAGAGGCTGTGTTGTAACCCAGTGATTCCAGCCACCGGCCAGTTCTTGCTAGCTTGATGAGTGCAGCTCCTTGGCTGATGGTCAAGCGAGGTGTTGTTTGGGGACTTGCAAAACCAACCAAAAACAAATGATTCGGTCAAGCAGTCTTGGTCTATCTAGGCTTCGGCAGGGACCTGAAACAACAACTTAATTCGACGACCACAAACACTGCGACACTGCAGGCCACTAATTTTGACATTTACATTGCGGGCAACGTTCGCAAGCCTTTTTGGCCTCTCTGGATCAGTCTGGTAAGAGTGCAGCTTTCTTCCCTCACTTGGGCCTCAGCGCATGAAGCAAAATTCGCATGTTTTGTTTGTCAGAGGATTTCTTGCTATCAAGTTCCTTGAACCACTCCAGATTGGTCATGACTTTGGCACAAACGCGGAAGGTTTGGTGCTTCCCCGATCTTGCGGAGCCCAAGCACCTGGCACAAGCCGATTGAGTTGCTGGGATGTTCCAGAAGTTACCCAGTTGGTCAGTGGTGCCCGTTTTTTCCTTCTTTGGGGGAAGGAGGACTAGCAGATCTGCACACTTCTAGATGCTGGGCATGTGTCAAAATATGGAAATTACTTCGATGTTCAGCCAACTTCGCAAAGTTGTGGGTTACACAGGTCAGAACCCCCTTTTTCAGTCCCATCTTTTTGTAAGTGGGATGAGCGGCGAACCACCAGTCACTTGCCCGGGCTTTAAACAAAAATCCACATCCGATTCCTGGGGCCCGTCGCTGGAGTCCAAAAGGCTCGCCCGAGGCAAGTTCCTGCAGAAGGCGAAGATGGAGCTCGAGAAGTCGGACTTCCCGGAGCTGAGGACCGTGGGCTCGGACACCTTGATGTGCGCCTTCTCGCTCGTCGCGCGGTTCAAGCGAGACGTGCAAGTTTGTTAGAGGAAGGTTAATAGGGAGGTTCCTTCACGGTTGGCAAGTGTTTGATGTGTTGTTTTGTTGTTGTGGTTCTGCTTTTATTTTTTGTAGGGGGCTGAGGGCTGCACAAAACAGTCAGTTTGTTGCTACCATACCGAGGGTTGTTTAGATTCACAACCAAAGATGGGTGTGAATGTTTCTGGGGACACCTCAGGTGAAGGACCCCTGCGCGCTATGGGGAGGGGCTATCCCTGGATAAGGCGAAGGGGTTAAGGGATAGCCCCCTCCCCAATAGCCCCCCCTTGGTCCATTTTTTGTCAGCACCGTTTAGAAAAGGGCAACCACAAGAAACATCACGATTTTGGTGGTCCCCTATTTTGAGACATGTCACCTTTGGGCTGGCACTGTTGGATGAGCTTTCTCGTGGAGTGATGTTTAAGGGAGCAATATGGACAGCCCAGTCTTATGTTCTTGCCGGTTTGTTCGACATGTGGGGTTGGTTGGTTGTTTGTCTGGTTTGGATGCGGTTGCGGGTCGGTGGTGGGGAATTTACTGCGTGTGTCGTTTTTTGGGGGACGCCCAAATGGTGGCTTACCACAAAAGGTGGTTCCCTGAACAAAAGACGCACACAAATTTTATCTAGGTTTGACGGTTGGGTTTGTTGGATTTGGATTGGCTTCACTTGCCAACCTGACCTTTGTATTTCAGGGGTTAAATGTTATTTCGAGGTAAGGTGTTGTAGGCCAGCGCTTTTATAGCGGGTGTTTCCCTTTGAAGGAATCCCTGATTATGAATATATGAAGCGCGGGCTCTGGTTTCAACAGCAGGGCCTTTCAAGCAGCAAAAGTTGCAAAGGTATGGATTTATCGTGGCGGGGTTGAAATGATTGGTGTCCCATTCATGTAGGTTCCTGGACTTGTTCTTTTTTGGGTAGCCAGTTTTAGCTTGGAAATCACCGTAAACCAGTTTCCCCTGAATTGGTGGTTTGGATTGGTGCTTGGGGATTCGAACCAATTGTTTTTCCTGTAGGGTGTAAATGGGAAACCACTCTCTAACCACCAAACCACCACCCCAAACCACCACTTGAAGGGAACCGCATCGCTGTGCCGTTGCGAGAGGTACGTGAAGGAAGACCTGATCATCCCGCACAACATCACCTTCTACGAGCTGATCAAGGCATTTCTTTCATTTTGGGTTGTCTGAAAATACACCCCGACCCCACAAAAAATGGGGCATGCCCTGTCTTGCGACTGAGTTCCACGGACAGGAGAAGGCTCGAGGGAAGTCCGGGCCGCTCTTCCACTTCGATGTGCACGAGGCAAATGGTTGGAAGGGGGAAGTTCCAAGGCAGGACAAGCACCCAACCAACCAATCAACGAAACAACGAACCAACCAACGAGCCAGCCGACCAGTGAATCAAACACCCAACCAATCAACCAACTGACTGACCGACCAGCCGGCTGACCGAGCAACCAACCAACCAACCAATCAACGAACCAACCGACTGACCAACCAACAAGCCAAGAAGCCGACAAAATGGATGTTCCTACTCTAAAAAAATCAGCACTTATAAGAGTCTACCAATGTTTCCTGTTTCCGATTTCGATATCACTCTCTGTGGAAACCCTTGCCGAGTTGTTCGCAAATAGACTCGAATTAACCACTCAACGGGGTTTACAGATTTACGGGCCGTGCCATGTTCCACTTCTTCGCGACGTTCCCATGGACCCCCGCCCCAAGGACATCCGAATGGCCAACGACGCTCGTGTGGAGAAGGCGGATCTGAGAATCGGATCTTTTGAGAGCCAATGGCAAGTTTGATGCGTGAAGTGGTTGCCGGCCCCCAAGCAATGCGAATGTGAGAATGGGGTAGTTTAACGCCAAAAACATGAGAAGTTGGAGGATAGTGTATGTGCTTGATATGATTAAGAAAGCAATGCGTGAAAGTCTTGTATAAACCTGGCTCAACTGCGGCTTCACGCGCAAACCCAAGTCTTCAAGTCTTGACGTCTGAAGCAATGCACAGAAACTGGCTGAAACCCTACTTTTTGCACCGCGTTGACTCGCTGTTGTACTCATCACAGCAGAGGTGAAGAGGATGATCCTCAAAATTGCGATTCGTGTCGTGATCCGGATCCAAACATGGTGTGCGCACAACTTCTTGGTGTCCATTCTCTCGGTTTCCATTCAATTTGGCCTGAAAAAAGGTAGAGGGTTTCCTGGTTGAAAGGGCGACCAAAGGGAAAGTCACCGTTTTTGGGGTCCTCTAGTTCAAGACGCACCCAAATGGAAGGGGCTTTTGTGTGCGATGTTTGAAAGGAAGCCATGCTTGGCGCATCGGCACGCGGTTCAACCGAAACGCTGGATCGATTGCTGCCAGCCCAGATGTTTCAACGGGTTGCGATCGGACGATTGGCTGTCTTTTGTTGAGGGTACTGGGAAACCAAATTGGAGTATCACCATTAATGGGCCCCCCAAAAGAAGACACACTCATGTTTGTAAGCAGTTTGTGAGACACTCCAGGGTCGCCCAACTGAAGGTCATCCCCTGGAAAACTGGGGCAAAACGCGCATTTGCGGGCTGTACCTTGTCCGAGTTCCGCGTTTTACGCGGATAATTTCAGGCGATCCTGGGATGAATGAAGCCCCCCTTTGATTCTCTCCGAGTTGCCTGTTCCATTTCACACCTCCAAAAACATGAGTTCTGAAAAACACATTAAATCTGCAAGAAGCATCTGGCCCCTGAAGAGTTCCCCGGGCTGCCTCGGATTCCCCACCGTCAGGATGAGAGTCACGCCGGGAAGATCGTGGACCGCAAGTGGTACGAGCGAAACAAGCCTAGAGCCCAGAGGGACTTCTCGCTGCATCCACAGGAGTGTTTTTCTTTGGCTATCGTGGTTTGCTTTGCTATAGCGGAAAGCACAGGGCACGGTGATGCATGTAGACTGCACCACTCACCACACACCACACAACGCACACACACACCACAGACCAGGCACACCACACACTCTACACTACACACCACAAACCACGCGCCAGATATCAGACACTCAACCAACGCCGCACACCCCACACCACACACACACTCGACATACCCAGCGCCCTTAAGGTCCCAAGGTGTGGGAGAAGTGCTTGGCACGCGTTCCCCAAACCTTTTTCCGCTTGTCGAGACCATGGCGTTTGGGGATGTCCTCGTGCTCGTTCCCTTTTCCACATAGCCGAGGACATGTCTACCCGACATGTCCCTAGAGTTAGTCGGCCCAATTTCACGGAGGCAGGCGATAGTATTTTTTGAAGCAGGGTTCCTTCCTTGGCACAAGTCTACGGTTTCACCTGAGACACACTCCATCCGCGCATTTTACTTCCCACACCAGCCCCTTTGGTACCAAGGATTTGTCCCTTGTTAACAGGCTGAGGATTCGAGTCCCTTTTGAAGGGGCCAAAGGACCGGGAATTTCCGTTTTGAAGGCCCCTTCTTGGGTTGGCTTCTCATAGCTACCATTGCCTTGTCGAATTTTGGGTTACACCTGCTGACAGGATGTTGTTTTTTTTAAGGCCCAGGGGTTTCATTTGCCAGTAGAGCAGGTAACCAACGGAACCACACAAACCGAAAAGACAATTGTTGATTACCTATAGTGGCAACTGGGATTCACTGGGAAAGTTGTCTGAAAATAGATTCCGGAAACCACATAATTAATGGAATTTCCCAGGCTGCCAAGGTTGGCGAAGCCACTTTCAAAGGGTTGCTTGAATCACGGTTTTTGGCCATGCTGAATATCACAGTTGCCATTGAATTTCGAGGCTCTGAGCTCAGTTGGTCTCCGGCTCTTCCATTTCATTTTTTCGGCTGCAAAGGCTTTTTCATTTTCTTCTGGCCAGTCAACTGATTGAATCGTTTCCATCAGCTCGGGTTGTTTGCATCCCAAGCTCTCTCGACTCGGAGGCAAGCGCTTTTCCCTTCAAAGCTGGGAGGGGCTGGTTGCTTCAATCATTTTGGAATCTTGAGCAACCCCCCCCCACCTACGAAGGGATGAGCATTTTTGTTTGGGCCAAACAGCTCAAGCCCACAAGGGCAAGCCCACAAAATGGTACACAACCAATTCACACACATTTCTTGCGGGTATTTAACCATCCCACTAGGTTGTCGGGTTTGTAGGGTTCAGTGGTAGTTTCCACTAAACTACAAGTTATTAGGTAGCCCTTAGTTGGTGTTTTGGATTGGTGGAGTGGGATTTGACTATTTTGAACCCATGTCATGTCTTTTGTGGAGGATATATTGGAGACCCCTCCTTAACCACCAAACCACCAATCCAAACCACCAATCAGAGGGAAGGTGAATTTAAGCTTTTAGAAGGGAATCTCAACTCACATGCCCTTCTCAAGGGCCTATTTTTGTTTTGGTCGGAACCTTCAAAGGTGGTTTGCAAGGAGAAACCATTCGCGAAACCGTGGCCATTTCAGGACACATCCTTGACACATCCTTGACCTTTTGGTTTCTTTCGGTCATTGTTTCTTTTGTTGGAGTCCCCAAGTTTAATCTTGCTGGTTCTCAGCAGGGAATGAGGGAATGACCGCTATAAACAATCCCGCAGGGTTTCCTTTGAGGGAAAGCCTAGGTTCATTCCGAAACCCTGGGCCATTCCCTACTGAGCACCAGCAAGTAATTGACACACCCTTATCCACGCTCCAGGCACGTCTTTCCCGCCAGCCGCTGGGAGATGTACTCAAGGGACCGAATCGAGTATCGACATGCCTTACAGAAATCAGGGTTTCGGTCGGATCAGAACAAGACATGGGTCTGTTCATTTTTGTTTGTTCTTTCAATTGGGGAAACCTTTTGAAGTTGGTTTGAAGGGGAATCAAAAGGACAACCAAAGCCATTGTGTTTTTGTGTTTGGGGGGGGGGCCTTCTTGGGTAGTTTGACCGGGAAGCCAAGCAAAAAAGGCAATTTTCTGGTTCAGGCACCATTGTGCGAGGGTAATTTGCGGGACGTCGCTTTAGTGGACCCAATTAAAGTGGATCAACCAGAGATCAAGAGGTCATCAGTTCAACTTCTAAAGGGAATACAATCCCGCAGTCATATGAGACGGGTGAAAGATATCATGAATCGGTTTTACACTATTTGTCGTGTTCTGCAGTCGTTACTGCAATTTGCATGGACAGTTCCCCTGAAAAGCGATGCCCTCCCCGAAACGATCAGGGACTCACACACAAAGTGAAGTGAACACATGTGTTGGACTAACTTTGACCGCGCCTCGTAGTATGGCTGTGGTTTGTTTGATTGGGACACCTCCTTTTTGGGTTGATTGACACGAAACCACAGAAACACCAGCCTTCTTTAGGGGGTACTCTGAATATAGAAGCAAATGCACAACCATGCTTGACATTTTTGTTAGTCCCTTTTGGTTCCCTCTAGCCATCTAACCGGAAGTGTCTTTTTGAGTGTACCTTTTTTTTGTGGCTTTCGAGGGACACCAAAAGGACACCGAAGAAAGACGAGTCCTCTGCATTTGGGTGGGCACCTTCCGACAGGTACGGAGTACCTGAAATCAAGGGATCTGTGGTCAGAACCTAAGGTACTGGGCTGGATGGCGATTTGGTGATGGATCTTTGGACTTTGACTTTGGGTTCCGTTTTGGTACCGGTTTTTTCAGCCACAGCCAAATGATGGATTGTCCATTGGGCCCACTAAAAGTGAATCTTTTTGCAGAGGGGTCAACAGCAACCAAGACGGGGATGTCTTCCTTAGCGGACCCCCCAAGATGGAAATCCTGTTGGTTTCCCTTCAAAGCAACCCAGAAAGGGGCTACCCACAAAAAACATGCATACTGAAATTTAGGGGTTTCTCATTCGGAAATCACTCCTATGAGTCTATGACCGTATGCGCAATGGACATGTCTTATTTGCTTGCAGATTTCTGTGATACAGGAATTTGGACACGTCGCTGGGAATCTCATTTTGGTATGGAGCCATGAGCCATGGCAGCCTAGTGACAATGACCCTTAGATTGAGGGCCACCTTTCGAATTTCCAGTAGGATCCATTTGCCTGTAGCCACGTGAGCCAGAGGCGTAATGAGTCGGACAGAGTCCCTTCAGTCAAACATGGCTTCAGTTTCCCGGCTGAGCAGAATGTAACGTGGTCGAAAGGCCTGTTTGCTCGTCCGAAAGTGATGCGGCACAGGAGAAGACCTATGACAAGTACACCGTGCATGGCAATGTGGACCACTCCAAGCCGGTGAACGCTGTCGACAAGTAAGCTTCGTGCACTGCGGCTTCTGTTTCACAGCGGAAGAAAACAACAACCGCGAGTTTGCTTGCTTGGCAATGGTCTCAACGCTTAACTGGGACTCGTGTCATTTCTGGTCGCCATCGTCATCTTAGGTTCTTATCTGGGGACTCTGCTGACACTGCACATTTTGAAGGTTCACAGGAGCAAAGCCTGAACATCTCATGGGAGCAACGCGAAAAGAGAGGCGAAAATATGCCCCAGCTCTCCTTGGTTCTTTCCTGGTCCCTCAATGATCCCTGTGCATTGTGAAGGAGCTGCCTTATGGTGCGATGCAATGGGACATATGGATGTGTCTGTGGTGGCCTCTGAAAATGTGGTGGTTTCCCCATATAGTTGTTTCTTCCCAACCCCAAACATTTGGTTTTGTCAGAACCCCACCCAAGTGGGGCCAACAAAACGAAAGACACCCGGGTTCTTACTGAAGTTCAGGTCTTTTTCTTGCCATGGCGTCCGCATGGCCGGAGTGCCGAAGCTGCCTTCGGAACACCCCGACCCGATTTGCTTCGGCACCGAGGCGTGGCGAACGGGAGGGGCGGGGGTTCTCTGGCCGGAGAACCAATATGACACGGAGCTCCAAAAGTGTCCAAACCAAGGGACTAAACAGTGCTCAGAAAGGACAATGCCGAGCATCAAAATGATTTGTTGGGTTCCATGTTAATCTGCCAAGTATATAATTCCTTTTATCTGTATAGTAGGTACCCACGGGAACCACCTTTTAAAAAGCAAAAGGACAGTTGTTGCTTACCTACAGTGGCAACTAGCATCTGGGCTGCAGAGCAAGCGCTTTCAGGGAGCCAAGGGGGATTCGCGAAAATCGACCTGTTTCGTGCGATGGATTCGACATTACCTTCGGGATTCACGAGCCAAAGGAGTCCCCAATGTTGAACAACAAATGGCCCGACAAAGCAAGAGTCGCCTTTTTTGACGGCAGCCATGGGCATGGCAATTGCCACAAACCAAAGAACAAGGCTATTCTTTTGATCAATGGCACATCTGAGTTTATTACTTACCTATTCAGTGGTTTGATGGTTATTACCGTTTTGACAGCGTTGATTATGTATAGATGTTCTTACAAAGGTTCATTGTTCCCCAAACTGGGAAACGTCATGAACAAGTCGAAGCTGGAAATGCAATCTTGGGCATCACCTAGGTGGGGGGTTATTTCCACCAAGCGTTTGGGAGGGTATGCCCCATTGAATTTCGCAGCGTATCGAATGTCATGAAGGAATGATTTCCCTTCACAAGAAACAAGAAACCAGCGGCCTTTTCGAGGATTCCCATGGTTGAGATGGCCAAGTTGGAACCGAAGGGGATGGCTTCAAATCAGGTTCGGTTCCTTGGTGGCTCCCAGCCATCCGGTTCCTTAGCCTTTTATCTTTTTAGTGTTTAGTGGTAGTTTCCATTTAACCCACTAAACGTTAGTGACGTTTAGCGGACCTGAAAACGGGCAGCCCAGGTTCCTCATCCATTTCGCTGATTTCTGAGGCGGGGGTTCTGTTCCCAGAGCACCTCTGCTGCGACGATTCCCAGTTTCCCGGCGGCTTCTGGCGCTGCTGGGATGGGCCCTTTACCTACGAGAACTGCTGCCAGCAGAGCCTCGGGGGAACTTTTTGTGAGCGAGCGGACTGCGAGGGCAACCCTTTTTGGTGGATTGGTCTGTGTTGCGTCGTTCTTTGTTGGTTTGTTGGTTTTGTCTGTTTCTTTTTTTTGGTCTGTTTGTTGGGCAACCTGTTTTGCATCGTTCTGTCTATTTGGTAACGGATCTTTGGACTTTAACTGTTTGTTTGAAACAGGTTGGACTTTTCGTCTTGGACCCACAACAAGTTGTTCACATTTTGCTGGGTCTCGCCAGCAACCCAGTCATGAGAGTCCTAGATATGGAACAGAACCCACTTGCCCCAATCCGACCTTTTAAACCTTTTGGTTTCCCTGAGTCCCTTCTCACCTTTCATTCCCCGGTCTGGGCCAGTGAGTTTGCTTGCTGGTTTTCAGTGGGAAAAGGGAAGGACCGAACTGATCATCCCATGGGATCCCCTGAAAGAGGATCCGCGTCCCTTCCCCAAAGGTCCTCTTGATTCCCATCTCTGTGAGTTTGTTCTAGTGAGACATCCTGGTTCAACGCGATTTCCACGTTTTCAGTTTACACTTCCCACGATGAAATTCCCACCAGAGAAATGGCCCCTTGTACAAAAACAACGTCTTCCTCCGCCCAGACGGGTTCCATGTTGTTGGGCGTCCAACTAGGTGTCTCGCGTTTTTTGGGTGGCTGAGTAATGACTGTTTGAACAAAATCCCAAGTCTACTTGGCGGTTAGCTCTACCCTTGGACGTTTGGGCTGTCGGACAATTTATAAACGTGTTAAGCCATGTCCTACTACAAGTGTAAGTTAAATCAAAGGATCAATCAACCCACAATGTGGTTACGAAGCAGCGATATGTATTTGTGTTTTGTCAGACCCCTATTTAGAACTCAGCAGACTACAAGATTGCAGCAGCTTTCTTATGATATTGTGAAATGAAGGGGACACATTCTGGGATTTGTTCCGGCCCCAAAGTTCGTCAGCTTCCCTTACTGAAATCAAGCAGCTAAAGATGTGTGTGTGTGTGTGTGTGTGTGCGTGTTTTGGGAGTTGGTCAACCAAGCAAACTTTTGGGGTCCAAACCCCTATTTTGACTACCCAAATGGGCAATCCTTTTGTTCATGTTGTTGGTTGAACTCAACCAACCTACAGATGGGCATGTGCCTTTGTGGGTGCCACTCGAAGTGCTACCCCCTTGCCCAAACCGATGCCCGTGGGCAACGGTGATTCACGGACAACAGGCATGAGATTTGGCACCCTTACCAAGTTCACGTTGAAGTGCGACCAGGGTTTGTCTCGAAATAGAACCCCAAGAATCGCGGTCTTGTTGGGTGTCCCTCAAAGCTACAGTACCAAAGAAGGGTACGAATTCTAGAGGGAACCAACCACGTAGGGACGTGCGGCTTCATCTCTCTTAGCCTACCTTACCCCGTGGAAAAGGGGATCAACTACCAACCTCAGTTACCACTTCTCCATTTGGCTAAATGTTGATATATGCATATTATATATATACACATGTATATATATATATATACATATATATATATATATATACAATATATATATATATATACATTTACATTTTGCCGACATAGATGGTGTGGGATTTGACCAGTTGCACTGGGACCAATGCAAAATGTGGCTCAGGAGCTCCCCCCAGTGCTCGGAGCACCTGGTCTCAGAGGTCTGGAAGTTCCTGGACCCTGACGCCAAGACCACGCGCCCCAACGCCCGAGTCCAACTCGCGAATTCCGATTTTGGGGGGCACGCCCATGGGAAAACCACGTGGGTATGGGTCAAAATTAAAGCACCAGAAATTGGACCGCAGGTTTTAGTCTACTTTTCCATTTGCCAGGGTTGCATGTTGGATACCTATTTTCGACCCACAGCCACGTAGAAGCCGCGGGACACACGTTGAACACCTAGGAAGCCATGCGGCAACCTTGGAAGATTTGGGTCTTTCTTGGTCTAAAGGTTCAGTTTTGGACAAGGAGCTTCCATTTTGTTAAGACAGAACGGGTGATTTCGCTAAGACAGAAAGGGTGTTTGGAATTCTATTGGGATGTGTGCTTTAATATGTTCACCAAACTGTGCCATGATCAAAAGCTGTTTAAGGGCAAAACTTCAACAGCTGAGATAGGTGTTTGTTGGTTTTCCCAAGATCTGAAGGGAATTGTTCAACGCAGTGTTTTGTTGTTTCTACACTGATGACTGTACCATGACTGGTGACTATGTTGTTTTGCTTTGGACCGGTTCTAAGGGTTGAATCAATCCCCCACTCTTTCTGAGCCATCGTTCTGCTGGACAAGCCACTGCAAATCTGCTTTGTTATGTTTGTTTGGGGTACAGGTATGCGTCACAATAGGGGACCCTCCTAAGAGAAAGGTGGTTTCCTCCTTGCTTTCCCTTTCAACCAATCGGGCAACCCACAAGACGAACCCAAATATGTTCTTGGAGCCGGAAGCCTGGCAAGGATTGCGAAAGCACACCCAGAATGGCACGGACTTGGGGTCTTGCGGTGAGGAACACTTCCTTGGGTGTTCGTTGCAACTTTGGTTGACAAGTCCCCCCGTTCAGTGGATGCAACCTTGTTGTTAGGGGGTTAGAAAATCCCAAGTGGCTAATCACCTGCAGGCTTGGCAACGAAGAATTTCCGGCTTCCAGGTACCGGGACTTCTGGCTCAGCGACGCTTTCTACCAGATCTCCCGGGTGCGCAACGCGTCGCTGGCGTGCAAGACGGCCTTCGTGGCCAGCCGCGTGCTGGCGCTGACCAAGCTGAGCTGGATCGAGCAGTGGGAGGTGGCCCGGAATAAGGGTGCGCGGCAAGCTGTGGCGCAACAATGGGCTAGTTCTACGTCCATTAACCAGACGTCCGGTTCCTTAGTCATTCTACCCCTCGATCCATATGATAAAAGGTCCATGTCCATGGGGAAATTGCAGCATATGGATGGCTCATCGTTAAGGTTGAACTACCAAAATTGGTGGTGTTGCTTGGGTTTCCCCTTGAAAACCAACAAGCTGGTACCTCAAAAACAAACATACCCATTGGGGTAGTTGCCTGTTGGCTTCTCTAAAACGCTTGCGTCAGTGGACGCCAAAGTGCGTCAGATCTCGGTTGTTGCTGACGATGATCAGCTACCCAATTGCCAAATATGTGACTCAACCAAAAGAGGGTGCTCACGGACAAGAACAAAGACAACTACAACAAAGTCAACTTCTGACAAGTGTTCCCCCCTGCTACAAAGAACAGAGCAATAAACAATGTACAAATTCGGACAAAGTCATGTCAGGGGGCTGACAAGCCGCCCGTTCAGGCGTCCGCATCAACGGAAACCCTCCGGTGGGATTCATCACAACTACATGTCTATCAAACGGGTTTGTCTCAAAAAAGCGAACACCCCCAAATGGCATCGGTTTTTCTTTTTGATTTCCCTTTTAAACCGCCAAACAACAGGGTATCCGCAAGAAGGACAGACCCAAATGCAGATCTCGTGGTGAATTGTCGTTGCCAAAAGGCGACATCACAATTGGGCCCCTTCAAGTGATTTCAGCTACCCACCTGCATGGTTTGCAGGGAAAACACAAGTGTAAGTTTGAACGCTTGATGTTTACATTTGCAAAGTCTAGCCACTTTACTGCGCTGTTCTCAGATCCCAATCTATAGTTAAACTGTTAGTGTGTTAAATGGAACCCCCCACTGAACCCTAAAAACCTAAAAACCTCAGGGATGGCTGGGACAGCTAAAACTAAAAACCACTAAAGTAACTAAAAGCCTAACACTTAAAACTGCGAAACACCCCATGTTTGTGAGTCCGCTGTTTGGATTTCTTACTTCAGATGTAGGTCCGCTGTTTGGATCCCTTACTTCAGATGTTGGAGTTATTGCAACATTTGCAGCAAGACTTCTTGGCTGTCCCAGCCATCCCCCGAGATTTTTAGGCTTTTAGGGTTCAGTGGGGGTTTCCATTTGACCCACTAAAAGTTAAACTTTGTCAGGGGATCTCCCGACAGCCCAGAATTGCTTTAAAGAGAAACCAAAAGGAAAACCACCATTTTGGTGGGGTGACTTGAACGGCTCAAATGCGTGAATGTGCAAGACGTGAACGTTTTTTCCTCAGTAAAAGACACAAACCACAGACCCACCAGGGAAGCTTTGGGACGGTTGTCCAGTTGCCCACCCTGATAGAAAAGAGGAAAAAGGGTGAAACCCACTGAGCAACAGAAGCTCCCAGCCATCCGGTTCCTTAGCCTTTTAGCTTTTAGTGTTTCGTGGTACACGTAGTTTCCATGTAACCAACTAAAAGTTAAACTTTTAGCGGGGGATCTGAGGGCAGCCCAGTACGCATTTGGGTGTTGTTCTAAACAAATGTCTGACACCAAACGGCCAAGACGCCGAATTGTTCGGCAGTGCGCCGCAAAGAACCAAGTGCCTGGGGAGACAAAATGGCGTACCACTCACCGAACCACGAGAAGTTAATCATGGACATTGCATCGCTCGCCGCGTAAGGATGCAACAAGGCTGTGATGCTGTCCCCGAACCGTCCCAAAGGGAAGTTGGCCCCAAGGCTGGTGTCTAAAAGCCACCAAATAGGAAATATGGGTGTTTCTTCTTCTTTTTTAAATTTGTGTTTGACCTGACCTGAATTTGTGGTGGTAGACCACATTCAAAAGCTAGGATTCATATCCAGCTACGTCTATCATTCTTGTCATGGCTTTCTTCTTTTTTGTCTTCCGACCAGCAAAGAGTTTGGCTTAGACTTAGACCCCCCCTGCACCAAGTTGATCACTGCTTCGCGGCTCGAGTCTGAGTGGGTCTGTGTTTTGTTGCCCCCCCTCCAAATATGGATATTGTCTTTCTGTTGATTTCCAAGTAAAACCCTCTTCTTGAGGTCCCCCCCAAAACAAACTCCGCACCCCCTCAAAACATGGATGTCGTTTTTCGTGTGGTTTCCAATTTAAATCCCCAAGAAACAGGTAGCCCCCAAAAAATGGCAGACCCCCCATTTTGTTAAATGGATTTTGTCTTTCCTTTGGTTTCCAGGTAAAACCCTCAAGAAGAGGTTCTCCCCAAGCAATTCTGCAGACCCGCGTCGAAGTCTGGAGCCTTCGAGTTGGTCTCGAGGTGATCTTCTCCCCGCGCCGCGCGGTGGATCACCACAACTTCCAGCTCCGCGCCATTGCGGAGGCCATGTGGGCGCTCCTGGAGGAGAGGTTTGGAGTCGCAAGTTGACTTGGCTGGTGCGAGAGGATGCGAGAGGCAGGGAAGGCGGGAATGACCTATAAATCATCCTATTTTCTTTGGTGAGGTTTATTCTTTGGTGCATGTTGCTTGATTCTCTTGACTGCTATTGGGTAACGGATCTTTAGACTTTAACTGTTTGGTTAAAATAAAGTTGTGTTGTCTACTAAACCCCCAAACAGTTTAACACTTTTTGCAGGGGGGTCAACAGCCACCAAATGTTGGTGCATGTCGCTTGGATGTTAGGACTTTAACGTGTTGCCAACTAATGGGTTTTCCATTAACCACTAGACGTTAAACTTTTAGAGAGGAAGCAGAAAGCAACCGAGTAGGTATTCCTGGAGTCGCAATCAACTTGCTGGTGCTATAGGCAGGGAACGTGGGAATGAGCCCTATAAATCATCCCATGTGGCTTCCTTTGAGGGAATCCCCTTCCGCTTCATTCCCTCATTTCCCAATGAGCACCAGCAAGTCAAAACCCGGGAATTGGAGCGTAAGGGACAATCCCCTGCCATGGGTGCGGGTGTGGCCGCTAGTTGAACTCTTTCCATGGTTCTGGGTAGACTCATACTAAATACCAGCCGGGGCGGACTTAGGATACATCTTACATTTTACCAGTGACTTAAAGTGAAGCAAACAATATATAAGATATGCTTTCTATAGCTGGGCCTGACTCTAACCATGCCGGGTTTTGTGACTCAGGAGGATGCCATTTGAGTCTCTGTTTCGGTGGCTCGTCATTTAGGCTGGAACCCAAAACTTGTGGCTCTCCTCTTGGTTTCCGAGTAAAACCACAAAACAAAGTGCTCCAAAACAAAGACACCCACTTGAGCAAGTTAAAAAACAACGGTTTCTTCCGTCGTGTGTACTGCCTATATGCACCTATAGCTATCTTGATTCCGGGATTGGTTTAGGGCAATGCTCATGTGGCTTATGTGGGTGTGAATTTGAATGAGGGAATTTGGTAGAGCCACATATCAGTGGATTTCGTGCGCGCATTTGCCAGTGGCACCGTGGCACCCCCCACCTCCCAAGTTGAGGGTTCCGCAATCTTGCCCAGCCTGTAAGCACCGGCAACAGGAGCTCATGTTGAATGTTCCAAAAGGTTCCAGGGGAAGCTTCCCCATGACCCTTCTTTCAGAAAACCAACAAGAACTCAGGGGAAATAGCCATCGGTTTGCGACAGCGATGCTTGAAATGCACATAAGGGGGGGGACTGAACTCCCGAAAGGTATGAAAGCATGGCCCACTTGGCCCGCTAGAGATGCTGAAAGACCCTTCTGCTGCCTTCCGGGGATCTGAAAGCTCGGGAGTGACATGCTTATGAGAAAAGAGGGAGACTGACTGACATGTCTTAGGGATATGTAGAGAGCTTCCAAGGAGACAGCCAAAACATTGGGTAGAGCACTCGGCTTTCTTTAGCTTCCTTTATTTTCCACAAGAACAACTCAAGTTTTACCAACGTGTGACAGTGTTGGAGCAACCCTACGTGAAAACCCTGGAGCATTGGGTCAAACACTGGTCTTTGTGAGCGCGGCGGTCGAGTACCAGCCGCCATTTGGAGGGTTCCCCGAGATCCGGGGCTACGAGCTTTTTGGGACGGTCACCATGGCAGTTCACTTGCCATGTTCGGGGCCAAAGCTGGACATCCACGCGGCGTGTCGGGCCTGGCACGATGGAAATTGTAGGGGAAATACTGCAAATGCTTCATGAGCTAGGTCCCCCAGCAGTGCCCTTTCACCCTTTTTGGGGGGGAGGGTTCCCTACTAACACAGACTACGGAAAAAAAGGGTACCCTTATTCTAACCTCTCTACTGGAGGACCTAGTGAAGGTCATGTTCCAACGCAATGAAGCGCAAAGTCCGGACAATTATTGCCCTGCAAGATACTGTGGATGGACGCAATCCATTTCCGCACCACTGTTCAGAAACCCTGGTTCTTGATGATGCCCGTGTAAATACCAACAACAAACGTTTTCAACCATGGTTTCATTTCGTGGTGCGAAATGGATTTCGTCCATCCACAGTAGGGGATTGAACCCCTGGGTCAAGTTGTCAAGGCGTCCATCCAGGCGCCGTGCTGAGGTAAACGGATTTCAGGATCGTTAGAGCAGCTTCGCTCCGGCGCCGTTTTTTTTTTTTTTTTGGTTGCTGGCCACGACATACTCTCAGATTCCCAGATCTCACAGAAACCTTCAGCTTTGATGTGAACCTTTTGTTGCTCGCTCGCTTGCTTCATTTGTATTTGTTGTTGCTATTTGTTGTTTGTTTGTCGTTTGCCTTGCTTGTATTTGTTGCTTGCTCTCTTATTGCACCTGCACTGCATTTTATTCCAGACGTATCTTCGGGGGGCGAGGACGCTTTTGACCACCTGGTAGATATCCATCAATGAATTAGATTTCTGAGCCCAGCTGAGCCACAATGAAAAACCGGGTGGATAAAAGTTAACAAGGCGATAATCCCAAGCATAGATGAGTGCCGCCTTTCCAATTCCTTGCCAGCTCCAAACGTGACCTCGGAGATTTTTGGGCAGGAGATCCCGCTGTGGGAGTTCTTGTCTGCTGCTTCCGCGGAGTTTGTGCTGGGCCGCCTCTACGGGCACAGCAAGAAGTTGGCGTATTACCTGCTTTCAGATGGCATGCCGTTGCTGTCAGGCGCGACATGTGGGGTGAGGCTTTCGAATCGGATTCGAAGATTCGAAGGCGAATACTTTTCCATGCTTGGCTTCTTTTTGGCACCTGAAAGACCAAAGGCCCACAGCTTGGTCCCCATTTCTTGAATGGCGGATGGTCAGGTTTTGGTTTACTCTACAAATTGACATGGTGTGGATTGGTGGTTTGGAAAGTAGAGAGTAAGCGGGAAACCACTCCTGAGCCACCAAACCACCGATTCAATCCACCGATTGGAACGAAGCTGAAAAGGGAGTCACCGAAAAGAAGGCTCCTTTGCATTCATCCCGAAGGAGAGTGATTCTTGATTTCACGTTGGACCCTCCTCAAAGGCGTGCCCACATCAAACCGGGGCGAACAACTGGATGTATTTTCCTTCGTTCAGACCCATCCATAAGGGACACGCCATGGTCAAAGGTATCTCCTCCCGCTTTCAATGAATCAGCCGCGCCCACAGGACCATGCTGAACTTGTTCATTCGGGTATGGGGAATTGGACCAGCAAATGGAGTTGACCCCGTGGGGAGGCCGTTTGCCCGTGAGCGACGGGGGATCGAGCGAGTTCCAAGAGCTCCTGAAGCGGCGGATGAACTTGAAGCTGCCTTTGCCGCTGGAGGCGACGTCATTTCTCTAGGGTTGATTCCCCATTATTTTAAACAATCCTTTTCAAAAACCGTCTGTTTCCCCTGGGTTTTTGATGATTTCCTGAAAAGAAGGATCACTGGAAAGAATGGGGAAGGCACCCCTAGATTTTCGGCATCAAAACGCGGTGTGGATTTGTGTTTCTCGGTTTTGGACGGTAACACTACCCCGTTTTGTGGTTGGTTTAACAGGGAAACACCGGACACGAACTTTTTAGGAGTTGGGGGTTCCCCGATTCTGAGACAAGTGTCCGAAAGGAAGCCAAAGAGGATGGATGTGTTTGGACCCTCTCGGCACTCAGAAGAGCGTTGGTTTCTTTTGTCTTTATGCTGCACGGTGATTCCCTGCAAATCAATCCATGCGTCGACCCACCTCGCCAGAGTTATTTTGTGCCTCTTCTGAAATATGGATGCGTCTAGACAAACAAAAATAGGTGTCCATTTGGTTTCTCTTCAAATGGGTGTGTCTTTTCTTAGGGTCATCCCCCCAAATTGGCTTTGGCTTCGGTTTTTCTTTTGTTTCTCCGTTAAAACCACCCACCAAGGGGAGGGGTACGGTGGAGGCCTTAAATATTGCTGGCAGGAAAAAAGGGAAGCCATGTAAATTCCCATGCTTTGTGGTTGGTTTACTTGCATATGTTTTTTTTGGGCGCCCACTGTACCAAATCCAAAAACCGACTTCCCCAAGCCTCAACCAAAGGGTCCCAACTGGGTGGGCGTGTTTTCTCTTAGGGCACCCCGCCTTTGGCGGCATCGGTTTTTTTGTTTTGGCCCTCCTTTAAGCCCACCAAGCACGGGGGAGCACCAGTACCAATTCCCAAAAAAGCGACAGGTCCAAGCCCCAAGTTTTCAAGTCCCGCCACCGGGGCCCCCAGGAGGCGCGGGCCTACCTCAGCTCCAGCTGGAGCCTCCCCTTCGGCCGCATCTGCGCGCTTCTGGTGCTGGCCCATGAGGCGGATGCGGCGGCTGCGGCGCAAGGGCGCGTGGAGGCGGCGCAAGAAGAGCTGCGGAAGTGGGTCGACCAGACGCCTGGCAAGAAGCCGCCACTGGAGTTTCTGGCCCAGGGCCCTTTTTCCCTTGTTCCGTTTGAACTCAACCAACAAAGAAAAACAGGTGCCTTTGTTTCCCATGGAAATCCAATGGGTATCCATTTGAGACAACTTTAGGCCGCCACTTGAGACTTGCCCAGTACCAGTTCCGCCCCCCATTTTTTCGACGTTTTTTTTTGGGGTACGGGGTCCTTTTTAAACTCAACCAACCCCCCCGTGGAAATCCACAGGGATGCTGGGCATCTGAGACTACTTGAGGGTGGAACCACTTTGTTGAATAGGAAACCGGACCCCCAAATTTGAGAACTGAGCCTCAGCAATTGTGGTTGTCGCTTTTTGTTGGAGAACTCACCTTGTTAGTGGCCTTTAGACTGTTTAGGAACAGGGAATACTAACTTCCCAAGTTGATCATGAATGTGGAATGGGAACTTCGGAACACCCCTCATAGATGATTGGTGGGCGTTAAGCAAGCTATCGGATTGAACAACCAATATTGAAGCTTTTTTTGCAGGGGTCTCTAGATTTCCCTTGTTTGTTGGGATTTTGCACATCACCTTTGTAGACAATTCTATTAGGATGAGCTCTCCTGGTTAGAGTGCTGTGTTCAGGCGGAGTATAGGGAACCTGGTTTTCAACCAACATGTGGAGCTGTTGGTCTTCCTGGCTCTCTGAAAAGTGATCACCTTGGATCTCACCGCTCCCAAAGCCCATTCCAATTGGCCATTCTCAGAGGGTTCTACCTGGTGGAAGGGGATTTTCGAAAACGCCCTATGGATGCGTCTTCTTTGATGGCACCCGTCTTACCTTAGCTGAAAGGGACACCACCAGAAAAACCGCCCCGATTTAAAGACACACCCGCATAAAGCTAGCCCATGTTGGTGGAACCAAAGGTCTCGCCTCGCCCCAGGAACGACTACGCGGACCTCTTCTTTAGCCATTGGCCGATTTTTCGTCTCATGCTACACCTTCACTATCACCTCCAGGCAGGTTTGAACCAACCTCTTGTTTAAACTATAATTTCGCTCAGGGCAATATCTTGACTGTGTCTAGGGGTTCTCAGGTTGTTTCCCTGTATCCTACCACTTCGGAAGCTTTCCTTGACAATTGCGAAATCGTGGGGCCAGTTTAAAAAGTTTTGGCCTTTAAACAGCATGGTTTTTGTTTTTCTTTACCGGCGGCTTAGGGCTGGTAGCTAAAGTTGCAACCAACCCTACCAGGGCCGCAGGATTGTCCACAAGGAGGTGGATGTGCTGGTGTTGCCCCTTGGTCTGACTTGCAAAAGTTTTTTTTGTTTTCGGGTTGGTTTCCCGAATTTGGGCTTGCTGTCCTTACCGGGAGGCCTATTGGGGTTCCCTTGCTCATTGTTCGAAAAAGTGAACACTTTTGTAGGTCTGAGCCTAGACATGGCGATGTTGGCCTAGCTGTAGCGACTTGCCCATAAGGAAGCAATGCTTCAACGAGTCGGATGTTCATATGTTGGCGCTATTCTGCTACCAGACAATTGTGAGGCTTTCCCTTCGAGGTCTCTTCATCGGGCGAAGGGCTTAGGTTTCAAGGCGCGCGAAAGGGTGGACCTTACTAATCTGTGCCACAACAGTCCAACAGCTTTGTATGGTTGTGTCTTTCTTTGTCTGAGTTGGTATCCTTGTCTTGGGGTTGGTTTTACTGGGAATCTAAAGGGACACCCATCATATTTTTTGTTTGTTGGGGGGTTCCCCTACAAAAACGACACACACACACACCCATATGATTGATGCCCAAGCCCTTTGCTTGCTGGAATTTGACGGGAAACATTACCTATTACCAAATGAAAGAAGATACATTGCGGGGGCTTGCATCCTTCCTTGTAATCAAATTATGGGTGAGTCCCAACAGGTCGCAAGGTGCATCATCCCCAGATCCCATGCCAAGTAGAAGCAGAAGACGCCCTTAGTCATTGAGACCATTGCAGGAAAAGAGTTGCTCTCCAGACTAGTACCTTGGGGTAAGTACTAGCTCAGCTAAGGACACCCGGGTTTCATACATTGGGTGTGTGAAGCCACTCATGCTTAGACGGGGGAACATTGGCAGATACAATCCAGTTATTTCCCACAGGTTTTTGTGGCTTTCTTGGCATGAGAAGTGACTAGGTCCTGCGCCCATCTTCCATTGGACGGCCTCAACTGGACCCAACCCACCTTGGACCCCGCCGGCTGCATCGAAGATTTGCACCGGCGGGTCCTCAGCGGTGAGTTCCATCACCAGAGGCGATCTTTTGCTTGGCCTGCCGGTCGACCCCAAAATAGTGTCCCTGGACAACAGGGAATTGAGGGAAAAGTCACTTGCAGTTGCAGTTGCTGAAGGGGCGATTTCTTCCTTTTCCCCGCAGGGACTGAAGGGGATACTTGGCGTGGATGCCGATGACGATGATGATCATGATGACGTTTGCGGACGCTACGTGTTTCCTAAGTGTCTTCAGTGATCAATAATACCTTTAGAATCATTTATTGTGCCTGCCACATGGAAGAGACAACCAATTGCCATGGGACGTAGCTTGTTATCCAGGATGGACCTTTCAGTTCGCGCAGAAGCCTTCCGATGACCAAGCCACAAGAGGCATAAATCCCCTATGTCGATCCAGTGCCCAATTCAGTTCAAACCTCTGTTTTCAACAGGGGGCGTGGGCTGTTCGAAAGAAGCTTAGTCTGAGGTTCCCCCGCGATTCACTTGTCAGTCCCAAGACTCGGGAAGACCCCCAATTGGATGTTTCCTGCCCGGAGATGGCGACACGGTCACCTGAGTGAAAGTGGTAATGCCGAATTAGAAGTTATGCATGTTGAGAAAATGGGTTACCGTGCCAGTAAAATTAAGGAGAGTCCTTCTTTGGATGTTGAAAGGTAAACTGCCATAACCCCCCTATAGGAAGTTGACTAGCCGCAGTATTTCGTCCTTATCATCTTCTGATTCACCCCCCTGGCCACGTTGCCATGGAACTCACCAGAAACAAAGGGTCCTTTTTTGTAAGGAACATCATCTTTCAGCACCCCGAATCCTCAGGTTCCATGCTATATCGTTGACCCGAGAAGGATAACACATATATGCCGCCCTCTTATCGTTCGAACATCTCCTTTGGCACAAAGAACATGACACCATCGGTCTACCTTGCTGGACTTGACTTTTCGACTTGAGTTGGAGAAACATATCATTATATCCAAGTGACGCTGTTTGGCGGAGCAACCAACCCTTTGGATTTTTTTCCATCTATTTTTCTTGGGGCTTCAGTCCCAAGAAGGGCCCAGAATCCGGTAAGAAGAGGTCGCACTTCCGGACCCCACATGGAACATGGGCGCCCCGTTTCAAGGACAGGCGAGCTCCGGGCCATGCGGGGTATTTGTGTCTTATCGGGGACCCCAAACATGAAAAGTGGTGCCCCTTGAAACACAGTCCGAAAAAAGTATCAAAAATAATCACGAGCCTTGGCAGCCATCACAGTTTCTTGGCAGGACATGAAGTAAATGGGTGAGATCACTGTTTCTTGGGAAGTGTTCAGTGAGTCATGTCCCTCCTTCAGCATGAGGATTGACTCAGACAGCTCCACCCATTGCAGAGTTCCTGCACTTCTCACATATTTTTTCCAGTCGACCGCTGGCCAGGTGGGTGCTGCTGGTGAATGGTCTTTGGACTGCTGCTCGGCTTTCGATGTGATCCGATTCGGATTTGGATGGCCTTTCAACTTTTCTAGGTTGAAAAGGAACTCAAAAGGAGGTCTGATTTGGGGTTGTCTTTTTTAGGAATCGGACCCCTCCAAATTGGATTCGGTTTTCCACCACACTAATGCGGGTACCCTCATTTTAACACACACACACACACACCTGAGCTTGTTTGTCCTTTGGAAAGATGAGGCTTGTCAGAATTCGGGGTCCCTTTTGGTATTTTTCGAAGGCGGCACCGACTAGGCGACGGGGTCCAACAAGGGACCATGTTTCTGACAACGCCCCTGGTTCGCAACAAGAGCCGCAGGAGGGCCATGGCCCTTGATCTGGGCCCCCAAATAGTCACAAAATAAGCACCAATCGGTTGCTATGGCTCCCGCTGCAATGATAAAATACATCAGCATCTGACAGTGGGGAGTTAGTCTGAATGGCTTCGTTGAAGTGGAGTCCAAACAGTGTACCAAAACCCCAAGGAAAGTACTGTGCTGCACTGTATTCTACTGTTCCGTGCTGTACCGTACGGTACTGTCGTACAATATCACTCCCGGAAGAGATATTTCTATGAGAGATATTTCTATGTAAATATATTGTTGCATAGTGGGTGTTTACCGCAACATCCACTGCGGGTGTTGGTTAAGGGGAAACTTGCTACGTGCTACTTATTTGATTTCGGGAACGAGCTGCAATGTGCCTGACTGGTAAGCCTCCTTCAAGGAGATCCCAACGACCACAGTGCCATGAATTGAACAGGGTCGTGAAATGGACGTCAAAAAAAACGTTGGACAATCAGGGTCCCTGCAGTTTTCCTTGGTTCTCAGGCCTACCATCCCTTGTGCGTGTATGTTTTTATTTTGGGAAATCCTTTTCCAACGGAAACTCGAAGCCTGAAAGGCCATTGGCGATCCCAGCGCCTTTGCTTGTTTAAAGGATGGTGTCTTTGGTTGCGCAGAAGTAGACTAGTCGACTCGCGCAAGGGAGAAACAAAGCCGTTTGAACTTGTCCCCCAATGGGAGCACCTCCGAAATTGGTCGTTCTTTGCTGTTTTCTTTTTATGCAACCCAGTAAACGGTGCTCAGCAACATTGCCACCCAACTGTTTCAACTTTTGTGCACCAATCATGACCAGCTCACTGAATGGGCAGAAAACGCTGAGCTTTACTTTGAGTTTGGGCTTAGTCAGCATCCTCTCAAATCATCACACGGTAGAAGCCACTCTCCTCGCAGTTTGGCCAAAACGTCCCCCTTTGGGTCGTCCACTGGGTAGAACATCAAAGTTGTCCTAGTTAAAGTTGTTTTTGTGGAAGGGTCATGTTTAAGAGGGACATGAAAGGAACCCTGGTTCTCACAATATATTTCATTAGATCATGTTTGCCATCATGTATCTGCCATGCATCCAGCATTTATCCACCATGTATCGAGCACATATCCCCCATTGATGCACCACTGAAATGATCTTCACTATATGATATTTCCTGTAAGGGTAAGTGAGGTTGCGGGAGCTGGGCTAGAATTGGATGACACGCCGGTTGCTGCACCCAACTTGCTTTTGGGACATAAAGCAGAAGGTAACAGTTTAACAAGATGTTTCTCTGTGTCAAACAGGCTGAGTTGGAAATGAGTGATCCCCTCAGGCGCAGCATGCCGCATCCATCCGGGATGGCCTGATTCTAGCCCAGGACCGAGCATTACACGTCCCAAACTCACCCAACGCGGCACCCTTTTCGAATCCAATGAAGTTGGCCCACTCTGGTCGATATCCCGTATGGCTTGTCTTTGTTTCAGGATTTGGACGCCTTTGGTTTTCTGTTTGGCTCCCTTTCAACCCCTCCCCCCAAAAAAAACAAGAACAAAACGAACTCAAAAAACAAGACAGGCCCATATGGCTCGTATATCCTGGTACCATGGGCTAGGTTGATCTCCTCCCGGTGAACAAATAGGCTACCAAGGCACCCACTGGCCAGTTTCGGACTCGGTTCTACTACCTGGCTTTTTAAGGGTACCTTCCATTTCCACTCTTTCCAGGGATCCTTCTTTCTAGAAAACCTCCGGAAACCCAGGGAAAACGGCCGGTTTTTGGAAAGAACGATGGTTGAATCAGGTCCTAGAGGTTTAGTTAGAATTGTAGCAACGAGCTCCATAAGCCTTCCATCTTGATAAGCCAAAAGTCAATGGAGCCATACTCAATTCCCTGGTGAGTGAAGAGTAAGGAACAGTCCCAGCCGGAAAATGGTGCAGATATCCGCCCTCGAGTTCATTACCAGGTTTTTGGGTGGACCACTTTGGGTGGGCGCTGCTCTGCAGGATGTGGATGCGTCCATGGCCATTGGATTTCCCACCACGCGAAACGGCGCCACCGGCAATTTGCCGATGGCCAAGCCGCTTGTGGCTAGAGAGGTCGTGAAGGGTGTCTATGTCTGGGGCAACTTTTTTGTCACTTGGCCGTGATTTTTTTGAGGGGTCTGTAAAAGGGTGTCTATCTTTGGGGCACCCTTGGTGCAGTTAGCTTTAGATTGCGCGCGCGCCACTTTCACATGGCGTGGCACGCGGATTTCCAGTCTGTCAGTGGCTATCCTGACCCTAAGTGTCAAACATTGGGGACCGCCACGGATAGATTTGAGCGGAAAGCAGGACGAAAGTGTCTAGGATCCCAACCCAACTCCGGTTCACACATCCCCATAGCAAATGCAATGCCCTGTCAACACTAGACACGCACCCACATGGTGACGGGGACCCGATTTGGGTCTTCTGCTCACTTTCCGGGTTTGCGGAGGTCATGCTAATGAGTAACCGCAAGAGTAGTCTGTATTTTCGCAGAATCCAGTCAGTTCGCTTCAAAAGGAAGCCAAAAGGGGTAGGCACCCAGATTTGCTCTAGGTTTATCCTGGCTAAATAGACACTCGAGCCGGCTCCGCTCTACCTGTTCTAAGGGATGACCTCTCAGTGAAAGGTTGTGGACGTTTGGCTTCATATTCTCTTTCAAAACCACGCTGCTGGCCTCCATCTCCCCCCCCAAAAAAAAGCGAAAGGAAAAGGCGGATAAATCTTGTTGGCTTCCTTTTGAACCCGTGCCCAGATCATCTACCCTCAACCACGCTGACCAAACCTTTTTCCGGAAGGTTTGGGGTTTGGGGCGTGGGATGCGAGTCGGGCAAGATGCGGGGGCTGTGCATTTCGCCGTTGGTGTGTGTGTACTGCTTTTGGCTTGAGCTTATATAGATAGGTGATAGGTGGTTTCGGGATTCCACCAAACCACCAATCCAAGCCAATTGGGGTAAGCTAACGACATGGAAAACATGTCCATCATGCAAGAGTCATGTCCAATGTATCGGGCCCAAGGTTGGATTTCTTTTGCCTTGTGCCAAGCAAAACCGTCTTGTAGATAATGTAGCTAATGTGGGGGGTCCACGTTCCTGAGCTTCAAGCGAAAGCGCACGGGCATTGAAATACCCTTTGTTCGTTATTCGTAGTCATACCACCGGGAATCATAGCAGCCCATGCGGGAGCACGCAGTTTTATTGTTCTTCTGCAGAGGTCCAAGCCTGAGTTCATGACTTCTTCCTTGGGAAGGTCATTTGAGTGTGTCTTTTCTTGAGGGTGCTCCTTTTTGGGTGGTGTCAAAGGGAAGTGTTGACCCACAGCCATAGCCATGTGTTAAAGGGAAGTGTTAAAGGGAAGTCAAAAGGAGGCCACCCATTTTGGAGTCCCCTTAACGACGAGCCACCCATTTCCGCACTTTTTGGTCCCATCCAGCAATGGAGAGCGAAGTCGAAGCGCTTGCCAGGCACCTGGCGCTGGCCGGTCCGGCAGCTTTCTGGAGACCGAGATCTCTGTCCTGCGGCCAAGGGGAAAAACGGATGCCAGACTCAGAAAGTTAGTATGTTGTTAGCAACCTAGGTTTCACCCTTCAAAACTATGTTCTATCTATGGTGATTGGACTTAGCATGAAGTAGAGTCAGAAAGTATTCTTTTGGTATGGGCCCCAGATGCGCCAAGATGGCTCTGACGCTGCGAATGTAAAATCTTGGGCGTCCGCTCTTCCAAGATGAGCGGAGAATGCGGTGTTTGGGTTTAGTGAGGATGTCCATTTGACTCACTATGAGCCTTTAGTGGGGTATGTGAGGACAGCCCAGTTAAGGGCTCCCAGCCGTCCCCTTGGGTTTAGGGTTTAGTGGGGTTCTCCATTTAGCCCACTATAACAGTTAACTTTTAGTAGGGGATCTGAGGACGGACGATCTTGTTCTGCGCAAAAGCTCGACAACAGAAGTAGTGGCGTTGATTCGTGTAACTTATCATGGTGAAGTGCCCAGGTTTGTTGGTTGCTACACCTTTGCCCTTCCTGCAACCTGCAAGACAATTCGTTTTTGTTTGCTTATGTGTTGAAATTCCAACGGAGAAACAATCGGCCAATTATTGTGGCGCAGTATCCCATTGTTAACGCTACCTGGAGTCTCTCAATGACCCTCTAGAAAAAGGGATCATGACCTCTGACTTTTAGTGGAGGACTAAACGTTTTATTGTGTGTTTTTTCACGGTACCCTTTTTGGATGGCTTTTCATGGACACCAGAAGCATCTCCAAACAAGACAGACCCAAATGTATTTAAGGGTGGAGACTCCATGCCGACTGGGAATCCCAGGCTTCACCAGCTACCCCACGGGATACCGAGGGAGCAGCGGCCGGCGCCCAAATGGAATTTGCTGCGCCGAACCGAGGCCCTTTTTGGGGGTATCCTGTTTTCTTTTGTGAATTTAGATGGAAGCCAGCAAGAAAACCAACATGTTGGCGTACTCGCCGAGTTGGACTTTGTCATTTTTTGGTTTTATGGACGAAACAAATGGATTGGTTTTGGCCCGTCCACTCAGGAAGCAAGAATAGGGGCGCCCCCGAAATGATTGGCTTCCTCATGCTTCTGAAAGGGCGCGGGCAAAAGTCACATTCCCATTCCGTAATTAATGATGTTCTGTGTTGGATCTGACGTATGACTTGTTCAGAAAGGTATTCTGTCCAAATGCGCTTTTTTTTTATCTCTCTCTCTCTTTCTCTCTGTCCTGAACGGTGAGCGGAACCTGACACCTTCCTTTCCCTCCAGCCGCTTCTTCCGAAAATAGGGGGACAACACGAATGATGGTCATCCTTTTGGTTTCCGTTTTAAACCAACCTCAAAAAGGCACCCGAAACAAAACAAACAAACACACATAAACAAGCACACACACACACACACCCGCACACATGATGGCACCCACTCAAAAGCCTCAGCGCGGATTCCAAGGCGCTTGCTGCATTGGTGACACCACTTCCGGGACTCGGGCCACCCGCCTAGACCTGGACCGAAGGTGGAGAAATTGGGGCTTGGACCAGTGCTGCAAATTGCAACTTGTGGCGTATGGGTGGGTTTCGGATTGGTTCAGGCTTGGGGGTCGGTTCTATTTGGACCGCTTAGAGTGGGTGTAGGGTTGCACTTGCTTCAGCTGCAAACGCGGCAAAACTCCAGAAAGCTGCTGCATGATCTAAGAGAATGTCAAACAACTTAGTTGTTTGAGAAAAAGGGGTAAACAATCAACGGCCACAATGTCTCACAATACAGCTAATCCTCAAATGATGCCCTCCAATGCACGTACCAACCCTCAAACTCAATTGCGTAGATTTCCTTTTAGAGGTATAGAAGAACACCCTTTCCCCTGGCTGACAATCCTGGGAGGCTCAAATTAGATGATGAGTCCCGATTCATCCAGGTGGCTTATTGATGTTCCGGTTTCCTTGGCCAAAGGAGGCTTCCACATGATTTTGAGACAGGGCGCAGCCCAAGCCGGGCCCGCCTTCATGGACGCGATGTTGTAAAAATTGTCAATGTGGAATTACATCAATAGATAAAGAAATTACAACACCTCAACAAGTTCACTTTCCATTTAAACATATTTGAACATTCTTCAATTAATGCCATTGCACTGGAAACATATTGACTAACCACCGTTGATTCAATTTCTTTTGATACAGCTGATTTTTGAGAATCAACCATATCAGGATTGTCTCAGTTTCAATTTCTATTTGATTGTGTTTCAGTTGACACCGGATTGATGAGGTTGCGTCTTTTTTATGGAATTGGATCCCAATATGGTGGCTTTCCGTTTGGCTTTCCCTTGAAGCCACAAAGCGGGGTTCCTCAAAAAAAGACGCACCCAAAAAGCTCATAGATCCAGTCTTGGTAGTCTTTGTTGAGCACTCCTTTAGAGCCAAGAAAACTCCCTACTTGGGAGGCGGGCATCCGGGGGAGAATCCATCCTTTGAAAACAATGCAACCAAATCCAGAGAGTACCCTTTGACTGAAAGCAAATCTGTCTATCAATGCTCTCATGAGACGCCCATTTTTGCATCCTGAAAGTTATTGGGATACCTTCATAAGCAGATAGATTAAGAGAGTGGTGTGTGGAACACACCTTGAAGCAGGAGCTACCGTTACTCATTGATTTTTGTCGCACGCAGTTGCCCAAAGCCGACCTTTGATCGTTTATCCGCCCAGATTGTGCCTTTTCGATGTGAAGTGCCGGAGGCCAATCAGGGAAGAGGTAGGAGCAGAAGTAGGAATTCCGAGTCCGAATGAATCTACTTGGATTTCTCTGCTGTTCTTGCGATTTCCTCCTCTCGGCTGGAAGATGGCCAGCGATCCCTTCATGTTAATTTACTTGGTGGTTCCCGGTCATCTGGTTGAACTCAGGTTGTTGGTTGTTTTTAGTTGGTTTAGTAGTTGAGTTTCCGTTTAACCCGCCAACAGTGAAACTTTTAGCAGGCGACCTGAGGACAGCCCAGTTTGGTCATTCCCTTTGCGCCCTTTACCCAGCCACAAGGAACTTGAGCCATCTGGCTTGATGTTGCATGATTGCGTGTTCAAGCTAGGCCACCGTGGACATGTACGGGGGCTAAAGCCACTTACCCCAGTTCCGATGGCGAGATCACCAACTGAGCTGACCTGGGTAGGGAAACATGGGCCATGCAATCCGCTTTGCGCGGCTTCCAATCTGAGGCGTACCGCTACGAGACCTTTGCGTCCTTGCTTTCAGAGGTGCTGATCTCAAGATCGGGCTTGGGAATGGTTCTTCCCGGGATCCCCCTTAAAGGAAACCACACTGGAATGCTGATGTGCGTTCTCTTTAGGCTGAGTTGCCTCTCTTACAGATGGCAGCAAACCAATCTGGATCACATATGGCGAACTCAGTAAAGCGAGCTCACGCAAGTCCCTATATGAATTCCTTCTGTTTCCGGTTTACAAGTTATCTGAACTCCCGGGGGGCGGGTCTATCATGGGGCTGCTCAAGCGCAGGATTAGGGTAAAGGAAGTAACCCCCTCTGACGCCCCCCCGGGAGTCCATGATAATAAAGCAATCCGCCAGCCTTGTCGTTTGTTTCTTTGCTTCCAGATTCCGACGGCTTGCTCGGTCGGGGTGGATGCTGTGCGCCAGGGGCGAAGAATGACGGGTCCATTTAGACGAGAAGGGGGGCTGACCCATTTTTGTTCGACCGGACCACAACTACTGTGGATAGACGAAGTGCTGCACCAGTTGGGATGCACAAAGCCCAGTAAATACTGAGGCAAACTATCTACCAACTGGTGCAGGATTTTGTCCACCCATGGTAGGGCCATACATTTCCCACAGAAATCCCGCAAAAACCGCAGGTTTTCCCTGCCAAAAGTTTCAGCCAGGGGCGCAAATTTCGGCATGGGCCTTGCCAGGTGGAGCCTTCAGGGTCCATGGCTTCTTTGGTTCTGCAGCGCGGGCCCACAGCTGGTATCTCACTGACAACTGTCGGCTTCTTTGCACCTTCTTTTTTCATCGCCCGTGGACTGAAGTGGCCGTGAGTCTACATGGGTGTATCTTTTTGTGGGGAGACCCCCAAAATGGGGGGTTTTCCGGTTGATTTCCATCTAAAGCCGCCAGTGCCCTGTTTGGGGTTGGCAAGGGAAAGGGAAACCAATGGCCTTTGGGATCCAACGCATTTTTCAAACCCTGGTGGACACTCCAAAGCTCGAGGTTGGTTGAATGGGATTAGCCACTCCCATTTTCCTGCGGGGGGGGGTGGGCGCAATGTCGGAGAAATCTGGAGGACCGTGTTAAGTGGTGGTTTGCCATAGAAACTCAAGTCCAACCAATACTAAATCAGATGGAAACTCAATTTACCTGGATCTCAAGATGTAATTCCAGGCACCCCCAATTGTTCGGGGAGGCGGTACTAGTCTTAGGTGGACATTAAGGCCACAATTTCCACTTGGGGTTCCTGTCACTTTCCACTGACTCCAAGCCAGTGGGAAAAACCATCTTCCTATGGTTCCTTGCCCCATTAAAAGAATGGCCCAAGGGGACATAGTTTGGATGAAAATCCTCAGCTCCCGGCCTTAGGTAAACAAGAGTGGTTGTATGAACCCCCATGGTTTCAATATTGTGGTTTGAACCCCAGGTTATGTGGTTGTTGAGCGCTAAATCATGGTTCAAACCATGGTTCTGATGTTGATAGCTGAACCCCAGGGATCTTAGAATGAATCACCAGGCAGTCCAAACCAGGAGCCTCCGTTTCTCAGGCTTCATGTCATAGCCATAGCCTTACGCGTTGCTTTTCAGTGGTTCTCCATTATTGTCCTGGTTCAACTAGCAAAATAAGCTCAGGTGACATCCCCAACAGCATGCGGTGCTCTTTTTAGTGCTCGCACCACCCCGCAGCCCTGGCAGAACCTCGTGGAACCCTCGTGGAACCCTGGTGGAACCTTACCTCAGGGCCTCCCCGGACCCCGGAGCCCATCTGGGCGACCCCAAAGCTTTCAGCTGTTGGGAAAAAGATGTGACTTTTTGCAGGGCGGATCCGTGTGGTCAAGATGTGAGTGGGCATCTCTGCAGCCATCAACCCCCAAAATCGAGGCGTCCGACTTTCTGTGGGTGCCAATGGCAATTCAATCACGTAAGTCCGAATTGTGAGCGGAAGCCAGAAGGGAAGGACCAATTCTTCTTTTTTGCCAAGCCTCAAGCAAAATTTGCTTAACTCAAAGTATAGGGTAGCACCGCCATTTTGGGTGGACTCCTGTTGCTTTCGCTTCAAAATCAACCACAAGATACCCTCAACAGAAGACACGCCCCTTCCCTTTCGCAGGTTGGACGTCTTGGGCGGAGGGGCGGCAACCTGTGGTGGCCTGAGCATATTCGGTCGAAGGCTGTTGAACGAATCGCCCGGTCTGTCTTTTCTCGCAGAACACCTTTTGGGTTGGTTTACCAGGGATTCCAAAGGGAAACTGCCATTTTCGTGGGTCCCCCCAAGAATGACACGCAACTGATAGACCGATTCCTTGGCAAATCAACCCTTGGGTTTTGAGTCTGGGGGTTGCTCAACGAGGAATTTGGAGCAGTGAACATGTGGAACATGGCGGTGCGTTCCGAAACGGTTGCAATTGGTTCGGATTTGGATTCGAACCCCGGGTTCTTGTAGCGTGCCATTTCAGGGTGTTTATCTTCAGAATCTCAGAATCTCGGCTTAGGACCTCCCCTTTCCCAGACAAGCTACTTCTCAGTCTCTTGGTTTTATTCGCGAGTAGCTGGTTTCAAATTCTAGCGACCTGATGCGGAAGACGGGGCTTGATGAAGGATCCGATCCTTTCTCTCTTGGGAGGTTCGGGGACCCAGAAATCTGAACTGGGGCGTTCAACCAATTAAAGGTGGTCTCACCATGTTCTTGTTCGTTCTTTTTTTTCTCCCGGGGACTAAAACCAGTTGCCCCAGGTTATATACATAGTATAACCTACTTCCCTGACGTTGGCTGAACATCCAGGAAGGGGTCGGATTTCTTTGGCGCGACTTTGACCGAAATCAAAGTTCGCCAGGCTCTGACCGGAATACTCTTGATACCCACACCTGCATGCTTGACCTCGCGTAGTGTCTAAATGGGTGTGTTTCTTTCCGGGGCGCCGCTTTTTGATGGTTCGGAGGCAACAAGGAAGCAGGAGGTGCTTTGTTTACTGTTTTTGTGTGTGTGTTTTTTTAATTAGGCCTGGGCCTGGTTGGCTGGTTGGTTGGTTCGAAGCTGGTTCAGTTGCTTGGGCTGGCATTGCGGGGGGGGGGGGGGCATTATTTAGTTTTGGCATGCTTCTGCTGGATCTGTTGAGCTCACTCGCTGGATTGGTCGGAGCTGGCGGATAGCTTGACTTTGGGCGGGCCTCGCTCGGCATTACCGTCGCAAGGTATGACAGGGACACCACATGGCTTCCGGCTTTGATGGCCTTCGACCTCTCATGGCAGAAAGCTTCACTAAGCTCAGCCAGCAGTCCTTGATGGGCAGGAGTATGCCTCACAGAGATGCCATAGCCGGTGCGGCCGATGACGCGTCGGGTAACATACTGGACAATCTCCAAGCCAGGGTTTTGCATAGACTTAAACCAAGGGGTTCCCCCCAAAATATGAACCAAGCCTGGGTTTAAGTCTACCCCGAGGAATCAGCATGAAGGAAGTGGGTCATGTTTTTTTTTGCTGGGTTGATTTTGAGTTGGCGCAGCGAGGGCTGGTTCGAAGCCTTTTTCGGATAAGGTTCAACCGGATTCCAGCTTGCACAGTGCATAACAAGAAACAGATTCATGCGTGCAGCACCCGTTTACGAAAACTCCAAAATCATGGCCATGGCCTGTTGATTTTTGGGATCCTTTTGGTTTCCCTTGTTCACAGCAAAAACAAAGTGTTCCCCAATCGCCCAGAATGTGAAGAGGCCCGGGTGCACATGGTCCCTCACATGTATCAGTCTCTGATGTCCACCAAAAAAGTCCGAAACAAGGAGTTCATCTCATGCCCAATTGAGCTAGTGTTTTTGATGCTAAACCATTGTTTTTCAGGTTGATTTAGAGGGAAATCCAGACGAACATCACCCTACTATGTCCAGAGAGAGTTCCGAATCCCTAGGTATGGTGCCACCCTTGGAGGAGGAGGACTACCTGCAGGCGACACTGCCAGAGCCCAAAACAAAAGGACCTAAGCTTTGCGGCGCCGTGGGGGAAAGCCTCGTTTTTTGAAGGGGGAACCCTGCTTAAAGGGAAACCAAGAGGAAACCACCCATTTGGGGTGAGTACCAGGTTGCTTTTTGGATTCTGATTCCCATGTGGATGGTGAAGGGAAGTCAAAAGGGAACCTGGAGGGAGGATCATGTGTGTGGAAGCCAAACCCCGCCGGCCGCGTCCGAGCTGTAGGCCCGCAGCCTTTGTCCGGCGCCACAACATCGAGTCCTTGGAAGTCTTCGGGGAGCTGACCTGCTTTCCCTCCGCCCCAAGCTCGGATCGAATGGGTCTGGGTCAAGAATAGGTACCCAAAATGAAACCCTGGTAAATGGAAACATGGACTAAACCCTGCGGTCCCCTAGTAGTTTAATTTTGACCCATATCCAAATGGCTTAAGCCCAGCCGAACTGGGTTTCGTCCAAGCCTTGAGGTAGTGGCTCCCTTGGTCGTAGCGGTGCCCCACGACGGATTACTGGGGATCTCATACGACAGATCGATTTCCAGTGCGGTTCGCAGAGCCGGGATGCCGGAAAAAGAAAAAGAAAAAACAAAACAAAAAGCATCTAGGCCCCTTTTTTACCCGCCAGGTGATAAGAACCTGCCGCGGTGGCTGGGGGCCCTTTGGTTTCCATCCGAGGAGAGGCGATCTTTCCACACGCCAACGCGCAGATGAGCCAAACGCGAGGTGCTTGTTGCTCAATATATCTCACACGCATGGTGCTCTTGTTTCCGTTTTTCAGGAAAGGGGCTTCCCCTGAAAGTCAAGCAGCGGGTGCCCTTGTGTACCCACCTAATGTTGGCCCCATATCAACCACCCCTGTTTGTAGGGGGGTGGAGTGTTTCCCTCCAGAAGTGGTCCGATTCCCCACATTTCACCGAGGGAGAAGCAGCCCCTATTGATAGACTGGTTGGTTAATTAATACTGTATTGGACGGCACCTTTGTTGCCATGGTTGCAGCGATTGTTTGTTGCTAGATCACAGGGGCATCGAATCAGAAACCAGGGAATCTGAACGGTGGTCCCTAAGAAGATTTCGCAACCATCCACAGTATTAAACCCCTGTTTGTTGATAGGGGGGGGGTTCCCTCCAAAAGTGGCTTGATTCCAACCACATTTCACCCAGGGAGAAAGCCCCCTTCTATTAATAAAGCAGGGGTTGATGAATCTCACTTCCTGAGTTCATGAACGAAAACAACTGTTTGGGTTTGGACCATTTTATGTGGAAAATATATAAGTCTGGACTTTTTTGGGGCCATCCACTCAGCCAGCGATGAATCTGGGGTCAAGGCCAACCACTCCGAGCCTTCCCGCTGCGTCACGGCGGACTTGACGGAGGTGATGCAGGCGACAAAGCCGCGCTCCAAACACCCGACTCCCGCTGGCAAACGTGTGGGTGTTGTTTGGACAGGGCTCCTTAAAAGATACATTTTGCCCATTTGAAACATGGCTTTTTCCACCAAAATAAAGGGACACCACCATGTACAAGGCAATGTTCAGGTGTATAGTGTAAGGATCCCTGTTGGAGGGTTGAACAGGTAGCCCTTCTTTTCTTGACTGCTATTGGGTAACGGATCTGTAGACTTTAACTTTTTGGTGGAAATCAAGTTGGGTTTTGCACTAAACCCTCAAAAAGTTATTCACTTTTTGCAGGGGTCAACAGCAACCAAGTTGTGTGGTTTTAAAGGGAGCCCAACAAGAAAACAGCGATTTTCGGTTTAGGGGAAGCACCCTCATAGTACGCACGCCTACGACAGCTTGCTGTGAATGTGCGGCCTTAAGCCATGCAGCAACGTTTGGTCTGTCCTTTTTGAGGGACCCGGGTTTGATTTTGGCTTCCTCAAGCCAACGGTTGGTGGAAATCGCCAACAAATTATGATGTCCGCCTAAGGGTCCCCCCGATTAGAAAGTCATACCCATATTATGGGTTTGCGTGTCTGTAATAAACAAATACAACATGTAGGAACGGAAACTCCTTTTGGGAAATGCGTTAATTTGCAGGGAGTAAACTGTTCAGAACTGCCGGTGGACATGTCCAGCCATTTAGACTTGACTGATGTTTTGTTCCTGACATGTCCCATAAGCCGGACCTTCAAGGGATTCCACCCCCCGCAGCCTTGCAAAGAGGGGACCTCCTGGAAATGGTCCTCAAAATGAACCCTGCACCCCCCACGCCCAACCTCCCACACCCAACCTCCCACCCCACCCCCCACCCCCCACCTCCCATAACCCCTATTGGGGATTGGGGGCTTCTATTGGTTGGGGGGACAGTCCAACTCGGCGCAGGGTTTGGCCTCCTACTGCGCGCAGTCCTGCGCCTTGTGGGTGGACGCGGCGGCGCCTCGACGGCAGTTCGGTGAAAGCGCTGTGAAACCAAAGGTTGTGGGTGGGATAGTGGATTATGATGGTTTAGAGTGTGGTTCGGAGTGGTTTATGGCGGTTTATGGTGGTTTATAGTGGTTTATAGTGGTTTATAGTGGTGCATAGTGGCGGATCGTGGTTTACAGTGGTGCTTTCTGGTGGATCGTGGTTTATGGTGGTCCATTGTGGTTCATAGTGGTTTGTTGATTAAAACTATCCCATGTTTTTTTGTTTTTTTCGGGGGGAGCAATTTCAGATGTTCTGGGTAGAGAGTCTTATGGTTTTCTGGGTAAATTTGAAGAATGGGACAACTTTTCTTAAAGTGTCATAGTTTTCTGGGTAAACTTAGTTTTGCGGGGAACTGCGCTTTAAGTTTAAGTGGCTCTCATGGCTTTTTGGGCAAGCAATAACTTCCGGGGGACGCTTCTCTAAAGAGATTCTCATGGTTTTCTGGGTAAGGCGGTTTCGTAGGAGTTTCATGGTCTAACTGAAATACTGGGCCCCTAATGTAGAGTCGTTTTATTTTTCGGAGGGTCGTATATGACTTGTGGGTGGGACACCTGGGAACCTTCGCCCATCCTCCGAACAAATCTTCGAAGTCTCGAGGCTGCGTTTGGTTGGTGGCTGGGTACAGTCAGGTTGCTCGTTGGTTTTTTGCCTTTATTTTTCTTTGGAATCACCTGGATACCCCCCCAGGGTACCTGGGCCTTAGCTCATCTCAAAAGAACGACTCCTAGAAAGGAGGAAAATACAACTAGAATTTGTGGGGAGTTAAGACAAGACTTATCTTGCTGATCAGGTTGGTTCTGATGAGTTTGGTCGTACCCATGTGAACAGGTGTAAGGTGCATCCTTTGCAAGTTCGCAACGTTCACCGAAAATGGTTTTGCGCCGCTTTTGGGACACCCAAAAAGGCAACTCATCGGAGCAAAATCGCAGTGATGTGGGGGTTGATCAATATTGCCTTCCGACCATGGGTAGCTTTCCCGGTTTAGTGGGGATGATCCTTTTGATCCCTCGTATCACGGACCTTATCAACATGTGGGAGGGTTTTGCGCTGAACACTTCCTAGGTTGGCGTGCCTTTGCCCGTCGCCGGTGGCGCCCCTGGATCCTGCGCTCCAAGACTGGTTCCGATGTGCCAGTCCACGTAGGTGCGATGTGATGCAGTCTGCGATGTTCTCAACTTGTGTTTCCACATTTCGCTGCTTCGCTGGGTTTTTCTTCCCAGTTGGGCTGCAGAGTGGTTCGGAGCGGATGATTGCCGCGGTGGCTCTTGGGAACGAGCCACAATTGAAGGATAAGGGGCAATCCCGGCCATAAATAGGCGCTTCGGCTTGGTAGACCACTTTAGTACCAGGTATCGATGACTCAAGATCAAGCTCCCAAAAACCACCAGCGTTGATGGACCTTTCGTGTGCTCGCAGTTCAATACCAGGTTGTGCCTTTGACTCGCCCGGCTTGCCGAGGCAAGGTCATGGCAGGAACGAGTGGCCGCGTCAGACTGGCAGGCGCAGGACTTCGAGTGGGCTGGTACCTTTGTTTTTGTGGAAAAGAGACCCCGAAACGAAAACCACCATTTCGCGGCTTTGTTGGTTCTGTTCATTTTCAGTGGGGCCTGCAAAAAAAAAGGAAGGTGTTTTGCCACCAAGGCTTGTAAAGGCACGCACACATAGATTTTCCAAAGGTGCTGTACATGTTGAATGAAAGAGAATCCTCGTGCCGGTATTCAGTTACCTAATGGCGACCTGAAATAGCTGCTCAGCCATTTTGCTTTGATGCAGCTTTAGTCAAGGATCCAAAAGTTCATTCGTCCGGTTTGGTTGCACAGTAGGTGGCACTAGTTTCAACTTGATTCTTACCACTCACCAGCGCCAACCATAATTCCCACCTAGAGGCGGGGGTTGTTTCTTGGTTTTTGGTGAAAGCCGACCAATGAAAGGGTACCCTCAAACAACACAGCTATTTGCTTTAGACGCTTCAGAACTCCTTGCCGCTTTGACCATCCTTCTTTGCAAACACCAGCCGTTTCCGTGGCGCTTGAGTATGTTCCTCCTCAAGCAGGGATCCCTACATTCAGCCGAAAGACGACCCCAACGGGTACTTTCTTATTGGAATCTTTTTTTGGAGTTGGTACCCCAGGGTTTTGTGGTTTTCAAGGGAAACCAAATGGAAACCATTCCTTTAGCCCAAATGCACACTACCCTCTTTTTTTGGGGGGACCCCAATGACACGCCCATTCAACGGATCACCCACTTCCCGTCACTGCACGGGAAAGTTGCCCCTCCTCCGAGAACGCCGCTTTCCGCATGCGAGGACTCACCTTCCAGAAGATCTGTGCCGAACTGCGGATGCGCGGTGAGCCAGGGGCTCGTGAAGAAAAGCGCCGGTGTGGTGGTTGGATCCCGTAAAGCGGCTTCCATTTGCTGAAGAATATTTCTTATTGTCCCTTGTTGGTGTTAAAGGGGGAATCACTGCTGGAAATATGTTTTGGCCCAGGTGGCTGAAGCAAATGGCAGGTGGGCGTGTCTTTGTTGAGGGTAAAACCCTTTTCGGGTTGGTCTAAAGGGAAGCCGACAGGAAAGTCCATTTTTTGGGGGGTTGGAGTTCTGGACGTGGGCCAACGTCGAGCGACAGCCTTTGAGAGACTGAGTCATTTGGCTGTGGCTCAAAAAACCAGGACCAAAATGGAACCCTGGTAAGTGAAAACATGGACCAAAACCTGCGTAACCCCTTCAGTTTAATTGTGAGCCACACCCATTTCAGGTGTCTCTGTTTGGTTTCCCCACTTTGGTCCAGCTCAAGGTCCCAAAAGGTGAGCACCTTTTAGCTTCTGTGTCCCGGTTCGACTGGCTGTCCTTTTGAAATTGAAGGCTGCAATCAGGCGCCAAATTGGGATCCACGGTTTGACTGCGCAAGTTGTACCTTGCTGGCTCCCAGCCATCCCCTTAGCCTTTTGGCTTTTTAGTGTTTAGTGGTAGTTCCATTTAACCCACTAAAAGTTAAACTTTAGCAGGGGAGCAGAAGGCAACCTTGGCAGCAAAGACAGGTCCGTTCGCTTTGCCCAAAGGTGTACAGTTACAGAGCGGCTGCCCAAAGAGAAATCCGTCTTAGGGAGAAACGCCTTGGACAAGGCCAAGCCAGGTCTGGTCTGCAGAGAAGTATAGCTGAGATTCCATGTTTTTTGCTGACATAAATGATAGGATATGATATGTTCGGCATCGAATGGCTATACTGATGTAAAACATAGGTGATCTTTCTTTGACACACACTTAAACTCCAGATGGAGAGTGCTAATCTTTCGAGTACAACTGATGAGTCTCGAGTACAACTGATGAGTCTCGAGTACGATGAGTATCGGCTTGATTTCCGCGGGCAAAGAGGGGACCTTGTTGGGAAGCAGGTACGTAGCTGAGCGTCCTCAGCTACTTCCCTTCCAGTGACCTAGCTTCGTTGGATCAGGTCAGTCACTGGAAGCCTGATCCCCCTGCTGCGAAACCGAAAGGGTGGTGACAGGGCATTCTGTCACTCCGCACACACACGCCCCTCTACGAGGGGCGAGGTTTCTCTTTTCTCCTGCAGGAAGATCACATGCTCAAACTCAATTCTCTGTCGTTGACCAAAAAATCCTCCACGGCGAGGGGAGCGAGACACCGCCCTGAACCGCTCAGAAGACGGGAACGAAAGATCACCACGTTGAGCATTGCGAGTGTCGCCATAGAGGACTGAAGCGATTTGTGAAGCAGCCGGGCGATCACCATGAGACAACGGAGTGGCATAGGTGAAGGTCTCCTCAACTGGAACGGCATCGGAGTTTCGAACTTGACCAAGAGCATGATCATGTGGATAGTGAGTTGTGAAGGACTCAATCCGAGACAAGATGCGCTGGTACCCTTGGTGTTGCCAGTCACGGATGTCCCATGCTTGGACTGGCGCATCGGGCTCAGTCACCCGCCGCCATTCACGAAACGAATTTTCAGGGACATCAGGCACGGCGTCACCGTGGTGCCATCTTTCAGGATGTCCTGGAGTGTATATCCGCACCCACTCCTGATCATGCCAGACCGAATATTCAAGCCATGGGTGCTGCTTCGAATCATCGATGTCCATGTCGAGGCAAGAGGCGAGGATTGTCGCGGGCTCCGATCCAGCTAGTAGATGAACAAGCACCATGCACAACCATGTTCAAACAACAGCCAAGCAAGATCATGCAAGTGTAGAGACCACCCTTATTTTGTACGCTGCGCTGCTCATGCGAGTCTAGCCCTCAGTCAGCTCGAAGACGGGACTCATCTTGTCTCGGCCGCTGTCGGAAGGATTCACGGGCCGGTAGGGGTCGGAGGCCCCAATCGTCTCCAATGGTGTGCTTCCACGCGTTGCACGTACTGGTTGATGAGGATGGGAAGCCAGACGTGCGCGAGCCGTCAGTTGTTGAGAAATCCCTTCCTGGAGACGAGTCAGTTCTTCAGTAGAGAAATCAGCTGCATCCGAGGACCTGAGAATCGCGTCTAACAGCTCCGGCGACATACTCAATGCCGCAGTCAGGCGATGGAGTAAGCCAGGCTTTCTGAGGACGAACCGGTAGAGCCGCAGGAGGTGCAGGTGACGGTGTAGGTTGGGAAGTAGTGACCGGTGGTGGCATCACTGGTGGCATGAACTTGGATGGCGTGGGATCAGGAGGGATCGGCATCATGTAGTTGATCGCCGGGTATTGGAATTGTTGTGTGGGGTTGTGAGTCGATTGAAAATTGGTAGGCATCATCGGAAAGTTGTTGGCAGCGTTGTAGCCGGGGTTGTGTTGCCACGAAACCAAGTTGTTCCAATCCATGTTCTCCGAGACCTGGTTGTCATTGTGCTCACGTCGGCGTGCTTTGTGAGCTTGAGGGGACGGACTCCGATCACGTCTGCGTCGAGTCCTGGATCTATCACGATCATCACGTCGAGACTGTTGTCAATGACAAAGTCCAGAAGGTGCCGGAGATCTTGTTCACGAAATCCTAGGAATCTTGGTTTGACGGCGCCACTTTCCTTTGAACATACGGCGTCGATGATCTGACTTTACTTCGTACACTGACCATTGAGAGGAACTGCGAAGGCCAACAACTTGATCGTATCGATGAAGAAGCACTTGCAGCGCCGTTGACCAAAATATCCACCACTGAGCCAGCTACATGCAAACAAAGCACAATGCATCAACAACTGCCCCAAGCATGCACAAGAAGAGACAGCATGACAAGCTCACATGCAGATTTTGTCCCGAGTCGACGCCGAACGTCACGCAGAAGGTGAGGTTCAAAACCTTTGGCCTCATAAAGGCGTTTGAGAGCGTCGAGCCCGTGCTGCTGCTGAACCGCCGGTTGTGCACCGCGTATGATGAGCCACGAGCGAGAAGACCAAGAAGAATAAGTAAACATCTGATCATTGGCACTCCGAATTCCTTTGATTTGGGAGGGATGATCAGGTAGCTGTGGTGTAATAGTCCGGGAGGAAGAGTCACATCGATAACCCAGCACTTTGTCATCATGTTGAACCTCGAGCATCACTGGTGGGCGATAAAATTCCAGGGAAAGAAAATTCATGAGCACGGGCGAGTGTGGGGCTGAATCTCGAAGGAGAATGAAACGATTGTCGACGTAGCGCTCATGCCAGATCACACCAATGTCGGGCATGCAAAACCGCAGAGAACTCATTGTTTGGTGCCAGAAGAAATCCTCAACCGTAGCAACCAAATTGCACAACGATGGGGCGGCTGGTGATCCCATAGCGACTCCTCGTTCTTGGCGGAACAAGTATCCGTTGATCTCGAAGTGACTGTTGTCAATGACAAAGTCCAGAAGGTGCCGGAGATCTTGTTCACGAAGAATCCTAGGAATCTTGGTTTGACGGCGCCACTTTCCTTTGAACATACGGCGTCGATGATCTGACTTTACTTCGTACACTGACCATTGAGAGGAACTGCGAAGGCCAACAACTTGATCGTATCGATGAAGAAGCACTTGCAGCGCCGTTGACCAAAATATCCACCACTGAGCCAGCTACATGCAAACAAAGCACAATGCATCAACAACTGTCCCAAGCATGCACAAGAAGAGACAGCATGACAAGCTCACATGCAGATTTTGTCCCGAGTCGACGCCGATCGTCACGTAGAAGGTGAGGTTCAAAACCTTTGGCCTCATAAAGGCGTTTGAGAGCGTCGAGTCCATGCTGCTGCTGAACCGCCGGTTGTGCACCGCGTATGATGAGCCACGAGCGAGAAGACCAAGAAGAATAAGTAAACATCTGATCATTGGCACTCCGAATTCCTTTGATTTGGGAGGGATGATCAGGTAGCTGTGGTGTAATAGTCCGGGAGGAAGAGTCACATCGATAACCCAGCACTTTGTCATCATGTTGAACCTCGAGCATCACTGGTGGGCGATAAAATTCCAGGGAAAGAAAATTCATGAGCACGGGCGAGTGTGGGGCTGAATCTCGAAGGAGAATGAAACGATTGTCGACGTAGCGCTCATGCCAGATCACACCAATGTCGAGCATGCAAAACCGCAGAGAACTCATTGTTTGGTGCCAGAAGAAATCCTCAACCGTAGCAACCAAATTGCACAACGGTGGGGCGGCTGGTGATCCCATAGCGACTCCTCGTTCTTGGCGGAACAAGTATCCGTTGATCTCGAAGTGACTGTTGTCAATGCCCAAATCTCTATCGTTGACCAAAATATCCACCACTGAGCCAGCTACATGCAAACAAAGCACAATGCATCAACAACTGTCCCAAGCATGCACAAGAAGAGACAGCATGACAAGCTCACATGCAGATTTTGTCCCGAGTCGACGCCGAACGTCACGCAGAAGGTGAGGTTCAAAACCTTTGGCCTCATAAAGGCGTTTGAGAGCGTCGAGCCCATGCTGCTGCTGAACCGCCGGTTGTGCACCGCGTATGATGAGCCACGAGCGAGAAGACCAAGAAGAATAAGTAAACATCTGATCATTGGCACTCCGAATTCCTTTGATTTGGGAGGGATGATCAGGTAGCTGTGGTGTAATAGTCCGGGAGGAAGAGTCACATCGATACCAGCATTTTGTCATGTTAAAACCCTCTAGGCCCCGTGCCGAAATTGGGTAGCTGTTCTGAGGTCCTTGTTGGTGTTGCTTCCCAAGTTCCATTGATCGCCATTTGGCTCAAGACACAATTGAGGTTCAAGATCTGATGTGTGACTGCATACATACGTGATCGGCATTGAGAGCGAAAACACTTTGCTTGCGCTGCATTTGTCAGGACCACTGTTGTAACTATCATTCCTTCTCCCTTACAACGTTTACACGGGTTCGGCTATAACGGCATCGTCCGTATACACCTTTCTACGTGGTTGGTATTACAGCTTGAGGGTTCGGTGCATAGCGTCCCACGGGACGTCACCTTGCCGTCTCTTGACAGGTTATCAGCCGTAACTACAAGCTCTACACTGGACTGGGAGACAGCTGGTTTATTGCGGGTACAGGGACAATAAAGGAACGATAACCTACACAGTACAATGGCGTCTTCGGCGAGCCCAAGTACTGCAACTTTTGGGAACAGCAGCTCAGAGGGATCCAATGGATTGATGGCTCTTCCTGCGGTGATGGATATGGTTGCAGATTCACAGGATGAACCTGGGAGCGGAGGTTCCGCGCTATTCAGCGACATATCTACTCCCACAAGATCATGGAAGCAGATCGATGTTCATCAGGAGTCGAAGAAAAGAGAATCCCCACCGAGAAGATCATCATCTTCGCCTGCGACACCACGGACGTCGCAGAAGGGCGTGAGATCGACGTCGAAGGGTGGGAGGTCAAAATCACCCACCAGTGCAGATTTTCGCGCCGTGATCAAAGAGAAGAATAAGATGGAGGTGGAGATCGGGGAATATCAGAAGACACTTGATGAAATGTCGGCAGCAATGGCGAATCTTAACCAAGAAGACTATGGAAGCACCATCCGGATCCAGGAGCTGGAAAGACGATGCGAGATTGCCAGCAAGCAGTCGGGACATCTAGTGAGTCACCACCAACACCACATGGCTGAGGCATGGCGCAAGTTTGAGGAAGAAGCCCAACAGATGCGCAAGGTGGAAATGAACGCATTTCAGTACGGGGAGAAGAAAGACATGGAGTCGAATATTATAATGCAACAG